CACATCTAAACAGCTTGGCGGATTGGCGTGATTTTTTGTGTGGAGATAGTTGGAGAACTAGAGAGTGACATAGGCTACTTTTTACCGCGGGAGATTATCTCCTTCCCACGGAAAAAACACTTTACAATACAACCCATACAATTATTTATGATCAGAATTACTTCAACTTGGTATTAATGCTCTTCAATACAATGAAATAAATACGTGTTTTAGCATTTTTCGAAATTAATCCCATAAGGGGGGCAAATAGGGGATTAAAGTTTGTATGTAATCTACCTTTTTAGGTATTTTTTTATAGTTTTAGCGCAAGCGAAGCCGCACGTTCTGCTTGTATCTATATAATTACTTAACTAAACAGCGATTTCCTTTGAACCTAAGTAGTGTCTTATGAGAAATACGTTTATAATTATAAAGATAAAGATATCGTTTAATAATGTCCCACTGAGCGATTTCATCCAAGCCGCATAGTATACGTATTATTTCATGATTTTTTTCTAACATATATTTTAGTTATTTGTGACCTAGATGAGAGGTGAAAATATAAAGAAACTTGCACAATTTTTTAAGAACGCCTGACGCCTTGGTTTTATTAATTTTAATATAACAGTTAGGGTTAAAAATATATTTGTTTGGGATATAGAAAATATAATAATAATTATTAGATGTTTTTGAACTTGTGCCAACCCTACGCAATAAGGGGAGCGCAGTAAAAAGCGCATCATGCGATTGCGGGACCCCCGATTTCGTACACTTGCTGACTTACCCTCTGCCTTTGTACCAGCACTTGATATTAATTTTGTATGAAAATACTTGTAAGTTTAATTTATACGTCAATATTAAAGAAATAAGCTTTTGTAATAAAATTTAAACGTATTCAAAGTTATACCTATTTTTTTTTATTGTGATAGATTTTCGGATTTTAATCTTTTGCTTTTAGATGAAATTTGTTAGACGATTTTTAATGAGTTACAAGAAGTTCACAGATATGTTAGTAATAATATTTTCCTATTAGTATATAATATTATAAATACAAATGGCGCACTCGAGCAAAGAAAGGGTAAGTCCCTAGTGGTTATATGTATATTAAATTATGCGATACACAAAAGATCACAGTATACCTGTTGTTTAGCGTTCCCATTCTACGGCCTTAATTTGTTTGGCTCTTTGACGACAATATTGCTCTATGGTTATTGAGTTTGATATTAAAAAAGTTTGTTTATTGTTTATGGTCCCAAAGGTAGTAGGTACGAGAAGCAGGTTGTATTTTCAAATTCATGTTTAAACCATTGGGGTCCCGGGTTTGAATCTCGGCGAGTTTAATCTATAAAATAAATATATTATTTATATTTATGTTAGTTTTATTAATTTTCAATATGATTAATAGTTAATACATGTCTTACGGCGAAGGAAAATATCGTGAGAAAACCTGCATGTCTGAGTGAACTTAACTTGTTTTCAAGAGACGTCAAGTCCGCCCCGTACTTTTTCAGCGTGGCGTAGAGGCCCATCCCCAGCAGTGGGACGTTTAAAAGAGCTGCATATATTTATGTAACCAAAAGATAATTTATCTAGGCTATTTTTTAAATCAGTAATGTCGTTAAAAGTACACATGGTTGCTTTGGTATTCTACAGTAATCATGGTCGCGGGAGATACTAATATTTTTTTTTCAACACCTTCAGGTAAATTTCTAAGAGATTAATTAAATTTCTAAGAAATCTATTGTTAACTGTAACGCCGGCATGCCCGCGGTCGTGGAGGGATTATATGATAAAATTGTAACTAAGCCGAATCTGTACATTAAATATTTTTTTGGAAAATATTATTGAAATAGATATCATTATCGATACAGAGGCCGAATCTATAGTTTTTAGAATTTTTGTCTGTCTGTCTGTTACCGCATCACAGAAAAACTACTGGAGGGATTTTGATGAAATTTGGTATGGTCATCGCTGGTTATCCGGGTCAACATATATGATACTTTTTACCGCGGGAAAATATCTCATCTCTGAGAAAAAATACAAAAACTGGTTAGAATAAAACCACGATGATACTATATATTTTAGCATGGTAACTTAGTAAATAAGGCTAAAACTATTAAAAATAGCTTATCTTAAAAAAAATTACAATAGCGCTATTTTATTTGGTTTTTGGTCATCAGGACGCGGGCGGAGCCGCGGGTAATACTAGCATAAACTAAACCTAGCATAATTAGGTTGTTACTATGTTTTATGCGTCTATGGGCGTCGCTGTGTGAAATAATGTATTATTTCTATATATCTAACATTTTCATCAGATCATGTTCTTATTAGAGACAAAAAAAATATGGAGTTTATCGTAGATATTAAAAATCGCTACTTTTTTGGCGTTTGGATACTGATTTTGGCACTGATTTTATCGTAATGATTAAGAAAATGTTTCGCATCTGTTAACGCAATTCCAAGCTATTACAAAAAGAAAGAAATATATAAGCCGCAGATTAATCCTACTAATATTATAAATGAGAAAGTTTGTTACTCTTTCACGCAAAAATACCTAAATGGATTTTAATGAAACTTTAGAATAATATAGCTCATATCCCGGAAAAATATACGGTTCCCATGGGATAGATTTGATTTAGTTTTTCTTTTTAAAATTTAACTTGTGATTGTTTAATTTTAATCAAATAATTATTACGGTATTAATGTGTGCCATATGAGTGAGGTTTTACCGTTTTTCACTTGTTATTATAGTTATTAATTTTACAAATATTAAGAATAAGATGTAAGTGTACACACCTTAAAATAAAAATAAATAAATAAATAATATAATATAAAGGCATAATTAGTTTAAAATAGATTAATGAGATTTACCAATGATGAAATCTAAGAAGCATCTCTAATCTTCTACACCTACTATGAAGATACAACAAAAAAAATATTTGTATGCATTCATTTGTGTGATGAGCACGAATGTTTGTACTCCTTATAATATGTATGTATTTAAAGTTATATATGTGTAGTGTATCAACTATCTGATATCCAAAACACAAGCCTCGTAGCTTATCATGGGACTAGATGGCGCTGTGTGTTAATGTCCCAACATAATATGTCCCAACATATTTTATGAGTAGATAAAAATAAAATAACACGTGCGAAAACCAAAGCAAAAGTTAGTACAACAAAAAACAATTATGCCATATCCATAAGTAACCTTTATATACACCATCCATTGTTTCGCAACTCATAGACGGTATCAGATTATGATATTAAATTGTTTCATGGGACGGACGGAACAAGACTTACAGGGGCGGATTTAGGAATTTATAAAATATATTTTGATTTTTCACTTTATATCTATACTAATATTATAAAGATGTTGTAGAGTAATAGGTAATCTCTGGATATACTGAACCGATTTAGATGAAATTTTGTAAGAATATAGTTTGATTCCCTGGAAAGGACATAGGATACTTTTTATCCCGGAAATCATCCCTTAAGGGGGTGAAAAATGAGGATGAAAGTTTGTATTGGGGAGCAATATATAAATATTTTGCCATTTAAGTAAAACTCTTTTCCAAAAGACCTGTGTCTGTTGGTGATCATTCCATTGCTGTAAATAATTCGAAACGTCGAAAACCAAAGAGTTAAAATATGTTTTTTTTAATGAGGAGGGAGCGTCTTATTTATAAAATAAGTATAATAGAATAAATTAAATAACAGGTTTTTTTTCATGTTTAACTGTAACTAATCTAGCATTACTGATCATGTATTGAGGATTAATTTAATAGATATTTAAATACTAAAAGAAATCCACTACCATATACCTTTTATTAAAAAAGAAATATTTAGAAAAAAAAGAAATTCAATCAAAAATTCAATTTTATAATTTAATCTTTGTCAGTATTACAGATATAGTTTCATAACCTTTGTATAAATTGGAATTCCTTCTACTATTTACGGATCATGAGGTTCTGGGTTCGAGTTCGGGTTAGACCAAATAAAATAGTTGAAGATTCATGTCGAAAATTTGACATAAGCAGCGGGAAGTTGTGACACTCTGGAACTCCAGAGAGCACGTTAAGTTATCGGGTCAGCGCCAGGTTTCACCTTTGGTTATCGTAAGAAGGATTAATCTACATTAATATTATAAAGTTTTTAAGTTTGTAAGTTGGGATGTAGGTTGCCTCTGAAACTGCTAATCAGAAAATTCTTTTACTTATAGGAAGCATTACCGCCGAATGCTAAATGCTATATTTTTATTTCGATAAAACTGTGTAACTTATTATCAGAAACCATATTAATAACTTTTATATAATTCGGAAACCGGTTAAAGTCACCTCGGCATCCGAGCATTCCAAACAGCAGCAAGCATCCGAAACTAACGTAAGTCGCTAGTATTTTACAATCATTTAAATACATATATGTAATGTAAACAGATTATTTCTTACTATTTTGTATCTATATCTATAAATTATAATGATATAGTTAATTAATGTATAAATAAAATTGATGAAAAACCTAATCATTAACTGCTGGTATTCCTTTATACGAGTACAATTTAGAGAAATTGGTTTATCGAATCCGTACCTGTCCCAATCAAAGGCTTTCCCGACCGCAAATCACAGTGAGACCACACCCACTAAATCTGGCCACGCCCTCCCTTGCGCATGCGCCGAGTCCACCAATCAGGGCACTCCCTGCCACCCCCGCACCCTCAGAGGGCAGAAATTACCCATCAACTACCCTCAATTGACCGCTTTATGCGATGTCATTTTTTTCCCGCCAAACCGATCGTTTGACGTCTGGCCCCGCCTCAATTCCAATTTTAAAATGTGCTTTTTAATCATAAACCGCAAGGCAATCGCGTCACAACCGCCAGTTAGAGCACCGGTCACATTAACCCGTAATACAAATTAGTTAATTACTCAGTTAAGGGCTTATTAGAAAAATTTACTGTATTATCTGTGCTAGTGTTAATAATGTTAAAGTGTACAATGGCATATAAAGTGAATTAAATAATAATGATGGATCAAAGACAGGGACAGATTTATCCGAATTTATCAGATTTATTGACGTACCAACAGAATATTGACAGATTAAATATAGATGATGAAAAGTTTGGTGAGAATTTCGCGGGTGAAAGGTTTCGTGAAAATGACGCATCACCAACGTCTCCAGTGTCCACCTTGGAGGAAGAAGACAGTAGCCAATCGGCATTTGGAGTAGATTTGACGGGCAAAGGCACAAATTTAGGCGGAAAATCTTTTACAATAGCGGCTATTTTAGGATTGACAAATTCAGAAGAAGATGTGATGAATCTCAGCGTGCAAGAGAGGCTGCAGCAGAATCAAAGACAATTACACAATTATTTATACGCAGGCCATGATATGCAAAGGTTGAATGATGGGTTCTGTAGGACTATGGTGGGAGTTCCGTCGGCGTTGCGACAAGGTGAGTCTAATTTTTTTTCTAAAATACATATATTGTGCTTTATGATATAGACCTACATACGTGCAATTAGTATGTTGAAATATATACTTTGACTATGATATGCGAAATTAGTAAAGTCATGAATAATATATTTTCGAAGTCGGTGTGCTTTGCTTTGTATGGGCACCGATTTCAAAAATATTTGATTAGGTATGTATAGTAAATGAAAACTACCAATCAGTTATTTTTTACTTTTTAGTGCTTTTGTTTGAAGTCAGTTTTTATTTTTTTGTTAAAAAGTTTTTATTTTTCCCTTTTTAGTGTAGACAGTAGTAGCATAGTAAGGATTCTAACGTGTTAGGCTTGTCAAATCAAACAAAATAAGCCCAAACTCAAAGTATCTACTATTAGCCGTTGAAGAGTTCCACCTATCCACCTTCTGGCCTTGCCATCAGATCAGGTCAACAACACCGAACCACTGTACTATCAACGGAAATAGAAATACTTGCAAAGTTTCAAGTCAATATAACAATTAGAAGTAGGTTAAATTCATCATTAGTTGTTTTTCCACCCTTAGGAGTGGTATTTATTTTTGAAATTTAAATGGGACCAATCTGGAAGTATACCCTTTCAAACAAAACAAAAATTGTCCAAATCGGTTAATAAATGACGGAGTTCTGAGGTAACAAACATAAAAAAAAAACATACAGTCGAATTGAGAACCTCCTCCTTTTTGAAGTCGGTTGATAAACATTTTGTTACGTTTAGCTATTGATGAGCTTTAATTATATAAATAAAAAAACGATAATAATCATGGTCGAAGTTTGAGTACTCGGCGAACTCTAGTTTTTATTAAAAGGCAAAGATTACACAACATTCAGCCAACATACATTTTAATAATTAAATATGAGACAAACCGTGGGGATATGGCGTTGACAGCTAATGCACAAGTCTTCTAGTTCGGCTGCAGATGCTATGTTTCAAATATTTATATGTACAAAATTAAATTTATTAAATGTTAAACAAATATCTGGTTGTACCTACTACCTTTTGGAAATAAATAACTTATTATTATATTAAGGTAGCAACAAAATTCCTTCCTTATATTCCTTATTTTTTATTATTCCTTATTCAGTGTTTCTTTATGTATATTTTTTTGTTTAGTGTTTAGCTTTTTGTTTTTCTCATTTTCACTATGGTCTGTTTCTTTTTTGTATTTTTTAATATGTGGAAACTTCATTGGATTATGTGTTATCTATTTATGTAATATTGTACTGTTTGTTTCCCTAAAATAAATAAATAAATAAATAAAAGCAAACAATAGCAATAAAGTAGCAACATAAAGTGTAACTCTAATTTATTTTGACAAATCCCATACTTTAAGTGAATATTTAGTTTTACAAAGCCACAATTAGTTTTCAATTTTCATTTTGTTTAAGGATACAGAATTATTTTTATGATAACGTGCATAACATCGACGAATGTGAAGGCGGCATGTGTCATTTCAATAATAATAATTAGCAGTGATATTATAAAATTAGATTTTTGAAATATTTTAATCAATAAAAATTTCATCAGCCATAAAATAATAATTCAACTAAAGAAGAGTCAAGATAAATAAAAGCTATTTATTTATCTTGAATTTAAAAGTGTATAATGGAGGCGCCGGGTATCGATCCCGGTACCTCTCGCATGCTAAGCGAGCGCTCTACCATCTGAGCTACGCCCCCGTTCTTACTCAACACTAACTAGTACTATACTTAATACTTTCTTAGATTTACGCGAATATTTGACATTTAAAAAAAAACTATCTTTGCAGATTTTTTCGCGGATTTATTTTGATTTTTGGTTTCCGACGTTTCGAATACTTAACAGCAATTATGGTCACGGGAGAGACTGAGGTATTAGATATCTTAAATGTATTATATAGTTTTTACAGACAGCCTACCCACAAATAACAAAATGAATTCAAAAAATGTAGTAATCGAAAAGACAATTATAAATAATTTAAATAAAATTCTATAGGCAACCCGGCCAAAACATATTGTTTGTCCCTTTTAGTATCTATATACAAATAAATAAAATTGGAGAGTCTGTTTGTAATGTCAAAATAACAGCGTTTTACTAAATGCATATGAAATTATATACGGTACCTACTTATAAGAAAAACACATTTTTTTTTAATTTTTTGTCTGTCTGAATGAAATTGTCATTCTGTCTTTCCGGATAATCTCTGGAACGGCTGGACTGATTTTGACGGGACTTTCACTGGAAGATAGCTGATGTTATAAGGAGTAGCATAGACTACTTTTATTTTAGAAAAGAAAAATAATTAGGGTTCCGCTCAAAAAATTTATACGTACCTAAGGACGAACCCGAGCGAAGCGAGGGTGAGTCGCTAGTTGTATATAAAAAAAAGATTTTAATTAAATACTCGATGAACGTAGCAATCGTGCAGCCGGATCTCGTACTATAATAGACCGTTTCTTAAACTCTTTTATTCATCGAGAGTAGTCCATGAGTAATAGAGGCTTTTTTATGATGAAAACTATACAGTTGTAAGAGATAAAATTGAAGGAAAAGGACTCAATAATTTATTTTTCTTGATCTTTACAATACGCACTAGAAGTAGCCGGAAAATCTTAGCACTTTACCACTTTGCTCTACTTTAATAGCTATTAAAAGATTTTCATTTTATATTTAACCCCCGACGCAAAAAGAGGGGTCTTATAAGTTTGACGTTGATGTCCGTTTGTCTGGCTGTGTGTATGTCTGTGTGTGGCATCGTAGCTCTCAAACGGATGGACCGATTTCGAGGCAGTTTTTTTCATTTGAAAGCCAGTTTTCTTGCGGTGGTTCTTAGATATGTTTGGTTAATATCGGTCCAGCAGTGTAAGAGTATCAGCTCTTTTCCAAAATGATGTACCTAAGGCATTTTCTCGTATGATTACTCGATTAAGTGCTTCACGCGTGCCAGTGTAATTGTTAAATGACAATTAATTTGCGTAGGTATTTTTTTTTTAATTTTAATTTATAATTAGTTATTCTAAATAAAAATATTAGGCATGCGAAATGCTTTCCGAACTTAGCTGCACTTACTGCCGTGCTTGTAAAGGTATTAACTAATCGAGTATATATTTGTACGTGAAAGTAATTGTCCTAGCATAGAGAACTCGTTGCTTTTTTTTTCATATGAAGTGTACTAGTTAGTGTTGTGTAAGAGCGGGGGCGTAGCTCAGATGGTAGAGCGCTCGCTTAGCATGCGAGAGGTACCGGGATCGATACCCGGTGCCTCCAATTTGTGATTTTTTGCTAATAATAAATAAATATTTTAATGAGGTTAGTTTTTTTATATAATAAACATGATTTAACTTTAAGGATATGAGAGTAATATAGGATACTTATTATTACATATCATCAAAAAGCTAGTTAGGGTTCCGCTCGCGTTCTTTAATTTTGTAGAATAACTCGTCTATAACAAAACCTTATATAAAACAATTAGGTAAACAAAATTATAAAAGAGTTGGAGGCGCCGGGTATCGATCCCGGTACCTCTCGCATGCTAAGCGAGCGCTCTACCATCTGAGCTACGCCCCCTTCCTTACACAACACCAACTTGTATCTATGTATTTAATAATAAATTATTCTAAAAAAAATCGTTAATTAATTGAGTGCAATAGGTTTATACTTTTAAACACAGCTATAATGAATGGATTAGGCTGATTTCGAATTTTTTGAATTTCTCATACTAAAAACTAAAAATTTTATATTTTGAAATCTTCCGTTAATGTTTTTTTTCAAGAGTTGTGCTATGAAAATTATGCTACTTCTAATATAGCTTACATTTCTTTACAGCTATATTTATTTTTATTTCGAGAATAACTCGGTTTCTATATAAAATATCTTCTTCGCGAGGGTGAGTCGCTTTTTGAACGGAACCCTAATTCTTTTACTGAAATAAAAGTAGCCTAAGTTACTCCTTATAACATCAACTACCTGCCAGTGAAAGTCCCGTCAAAATCGGCCCAGTCGTTTCGGAGATTAGCCGGAACAAACAAACAGACAATTTAAAAAATTGTGGTTTTATTATTAATACCTCATATAATTCCATATGCATTTAGTAAAATTACAAACAGACACTTCAATTTTATTTATCTGTATAGATAGTAACTTACTCTCGTTTCACTCGGATGCATCCCTAAGGGCGTTATAGATATGAACAGTTATTGCGAGTGCATCTTAGGAGAAGGTTTAGCCAACGTTAGCCAAATAAATTTCTAAGGACGACTTAATGGAACCTTATTAATTATAAAAAGTTTTATATAAAAAAATCTTGTATAAGCAACTTTATAGCAATTATTATTTTCTTAAAATATAAATATTTAAAAATTGCGATAATTGAATTTTCGTGGAGATTTCTAGAAACTTTGATTGTTTTATATTACGGATTTTCAAAACAGCGGTAATTTTTAACGGATACACTTTTTAGTTCACGGTAGGTATTAAAAACCCAAAAAAGAAAATCTCATTTTAATCCATTAATTGTAGTCGATTAAATGTCATATTGTTATAGTCAAAGTAATTTTTTGGCAACAGGCAAAATCATTAAAATTTCTGCAAAAATTTAGTTTTTAAATTAAATTTTACGCCAAAATAGCTCAATGAAAAATAAAAACTGCTAATTTTTAATTAAGCTAGCAATATACAACCTCCTCTAACACTATCCACTGAATACGACACAAAAAAATTGGCAATACGGAAAAAAATTGGGGAAAATATTTTTGTTTTTAATATATTAAATGGTATTTAAGCAAAAATATTTTCCCAAACTGCTACTTTGATAGCCTTAGTAAGATGCGAGATGGAAAAAGACATATCGATTGGTATTGACTTATAAATAGCAGTCATTGATACAGAAAAACATGTATATCAATGATTATAGGTATTCTTTTGATGCTCAATTAGTGTTGTCAGCATCAAAAGACTGAGCGCAATTTTTTTTTGCAAATATAATAAACGTCAGGCTGTGGTAGCCCAGTGGTAACGCGCTAGCTTGGAAAACCGAGTGAAACGGTTTAAGAAAAATATCGTTAGGAAACCTGCATGTATGAGAGAGCCTAGCAAGTTTTTGAAAGACATGTGAAGTCCGCTAATTCGTACTTGGCCAGCGTGGTGGATCACCTCGTGTTGAGGAGAGGTCCGTGCCCACTCCCAGCAGTGGGACGTTAAAAAGGGCTGAATTCAAATACAATAAACTGCCACTTTGACAGCTTTAGCAGAGTTCAAGGCGGATGTTACTGAGAATATCTTAACAAAAAACTCAGTAATTAAACTTGGCCCGACCTAGAACTCAAACCCTGGACCTCCGGATCTGCAGCCGTTCATGCTAGCGACTAGACCACCGCGAAGGGGCAATTGCTATATATATATCAGACATTTTTTTCTAGGTTCTTTTTAATAGTGAAAGGTAGTGTGTGACCTCCTTATATACACACATATTTATTTTCAAAGTACAGGCCTAGTTAGTGTTTAATTACAACGGGGGCGTAGCTCAGATGGTAGAGCGCTCGCTTAGCATGCGAGAGGTACCGGGATCGATACCCGGCGCCTCCAATTGGTAATGTTTTATAAATTATTTTAAAGAAAATAGGTATCTTTTTATGTCTATACATATAATAAAATTGTAACTAAGCCGAATCTGTACATTAAATATTTTTTGGAAAATCTTATTGAAATAGACATTATTATCGATACAGAGGTCGAATCTATAGTTTTTAGAATTTTTGTCTGTCTGTCTGTTACCGCATCACGGAAAAACAACTGAAGGGATTTTCGTGAAATTTGGTATGGTGAGAGTTGGTTATCCGGGGCAGAGGCTGACTGCTACCGGACGCGTCCCCGGGTGGCGGATAGGGGAACACCACTCGCGCCTGTTTGGACCCAACAGGAGCTTGTGGTACCGGAGCAATCCGGCGCGGACCAACAGCCAGGAGGGGAGGTTGAGGGAGCGGCGTTAGAGGGCGCCGTCTCCTTCTTGGAGGTAGAGCGGTGTCTCCGGCCGTTTTGCGGTAGGAGGTGCTGCACGGGCCATACTGCCGGGGCTAGCCCGTCGGTGCGGCGGCTGGGGCGGGGCCATTTCGGTGGTCCTGCGTATGGCGAGGGATGTCGGCAGCCATTTTGGTCCGGAGGTGGGCCGACGGTAGGGGGGCCGCGGGGGAAGAGGAGTGTCGGTATGGCGATGCGCCGCTCGTCCCTATCTCCCGCGGCCTAGCGGGGCCACCACCGTTGATGGTGGACGCGGTGGGGCTGCAGGGGAAGGGGAGTGTCGGCGTTGTCGCATCCTCTTCTCCTGCAGCCGTTTGTGTTTGGGCTCGTTCGCGGGCGTCTTTGGGGGGTTTGCCCAATTTGGGTGGGGTTTATTATTTTTGCAGGTTGCCCACTTCGGTGGGCGGTGTTTGTGTGGTGTGGGGCTGCTCCGGGTACTTCTCTGATCAGCAGAGTGGACTTAGGAGCGGCCTCACTTCGTCTTGGGTTGTGAGTCTTCCCATAATGGGGTTGTCCCGCTTGGGGCGGCCTCATGGTTGGTGGCTTCGGCCAACCGTCGGGGCGTCGCGGTTGTATGCGAGAGCGATCCCGTGGCGTCCCACATGGCGGCAGGGGGGGGGGAAGTTGGGTTTTAGTGGGTATGCCGGTCTCATTAGCCGGAGAGTCTCCACATAACCACCCCGGGGGAAGTCGGGTGGTATCCGTAATAGGATTTCCCAACTATAAAAAAAAAAATCCGGGTCAACATGTAGGAGACTTTTTACCACGGGAAAATATCTCATTTCTAAAAAAAAATACTAAAACTACAATGTAAGAGTATACTAATATGTAAAACCTAAGAATTTGATTTTTGGTAATCTGAACGCGGGCGGAGCCGCGGGAAATGGTAGTAAAAAATATAAACAACGACAAATAATACATTTAAAATGGTTCACCATAGCCGCAAACGATTCATTAAAAAATTAACGAAGAAAATACACACCATGTAGTTTTTCTAGAGCGTTTATACCATAAAAAAGGTGTATTATATTTTTACCAAAGAATATTCCATTATAAAGCCTCATGTGTAGAAATAAGGTCTTATATTTATATCCATATGTACAATACGTATAATTTATATGAAAGCAACTGTTACTTTTTCACGCTTAAACCGTTGAACAGATTTCGATAAAATTTGGCAAGGACATAGATACATCCTGGGGATGACATCCAGTTACCACGCGAGCGAAGCTGCGGTCAAAATCTAGTATTAAATTAAGGAATTATTAAAATGAAAATATTGTGTTAAGATGCCCAGAGCAAGAGTCCGACACGATCTTGCCGATTTGTATTTTTCTTTCTCCTATAACACCAAAACAATTATTGTAAAGAAAATTCTCTGAAGGGTTGAATTGTTAATGTTGTCAAGCTTAGGGGTGCTTACATATTTATAAATAAATAGATATAGGGGTTGATACAGTTACACCCTTCACTTTATTTTTTTTGTCCAGTGGTAACTCGCTCGCTTGGGACTGAGTGAAGTGGGTTCCAATCCCGGGTCTCGCAACTCTAATATTTTCATGTGCGAATCATTTCCAACATGATTACCACTAGTCTTACGGTGAAGGAAAATATCGTGAGGAAACCTGCATGTCTGAGAGAACCTAGCCAGTTTTCGAAAGACATGTGCAGTCCGCCAACACGCACTTGGCCAGCGTGGTGGGCTATGGCCTGATCCCCCTCATATTGAATGGAGGCACACACCCAGCAGTGGGACGTTAAAAAGGGCTGAACTCACTTCACTTTTTTTGAGTATACCCATCCTATGCAATAGCGGGCTTGCCAGTAGGCTGGGTAGGCTTGAGTCTTCAGGCGGCTTATTTGCAGACAAAAAATTTTAGGCGTCTTATAAAAAACAAAAACTGTCATAATCTATACATATAATAAAACTAGAATTGCCCGCGTTCAGATGACCAAATACCAAATTTTTAGGTTTAACATATATCCTATATGTTGACCCGGATAACCAACTATCACCATACCAAATTTCATCAAAATCCCTCCAGTGGTTTTTCTGTGATGCGGTAACAGATAGACAGACAGATAAAAAATTTTAAAACTATAGATTCGGCCTCTGTATCGATAATAATGTTTATTTCAATAAGATTTTCATAAAAATATTTAATGTACAGATTCGGCTTAGTTACAATTTTATTATATGTATAGATAATTTTTTCCTTTAATTATTCCTGATAAGACTACTTTGTAGAAAGTAATTCATTTGTTACCCATAAGATACTAATATTGTTTTTTTTTATTATTAAAAAGATATTAATGAGTAAACATCAGTTGGCTTTATACCATTTGCTAAATGAAATCCTCGGCCATGGATCCAAAGTGCTAAACACTTCTCAAAAGACATAATACCTCGTCTTATCACCTCTACTGGTGACAGGAGAGCTGGCTCGTTCTTCGCCCAAAGAATCTGCATTGCCATTCAACGGGGGAATGCGGCTAGCATTCTTGCCGTTATTCCACGCGGACTATATATATATATATATATATATATATATATATATATATATATATATATATATATATATATAATTAAGTATATTTAAAAAAAAGTTATTTATCATTTAATTAACTCCTTACAGATAGTCCTCGGCCCGAGCTCCGGCCGCAGGCGGGGCAGTTGAAAACTAGGGCGCATTCTATGACTTGCTCTAACAGGTAAGACTTTAATTACTATACACGTAACAATGTAAATTGTTCAGTGAATTGGATCAAAGCAAACCTTAAAAATCCTTGATAAAAGAAAAATAACATACTTATTAGTAAACTAACGACTCATGCTCGCTTCGCTCGGGTTCGTCCCTTCCGCATACAAACTTTCATCCCCATTTTCACCCCCTTAATGGATGATTTCTTGAATAAAAAGTATCCTATGTCCTTCCCAGGGTCTCAAACTATCTTCTTACCAAATTTCATCTAAATTGGTTCAGTAAATCCAGAGGTAGGTTACCCCATACAACGTCAGAAACTCACAAACTCACAAACTTGACCTCTTTATAATATTATAATAGTATAGATTTATTAAAGTAAAGAAAACATGTAATATTTAGCATTGCCAGTGGCCAGTGCAAAAGTGGTCTAATCGTTATTTAAGCTAAACTATATCTCCAATTCAATTCAATTTTCTTGTTAATGGTTTCAAAGCGTAATTGAGCACAGATTACTTCGCCAAAGTCACAACAAAAAATAAATCTGCTATGGAGCGATCTCCCCTAGAGTCGCGTCGCCACGATGTGTGGTGACATACATATATGTATCTAATAGCGGCTCACCCTCGCATCGCATCTCGGGTTCGCCTCTAGGAAAACAAAAACAAATCTATCCCACGGGTACCGTTCATTTTTCCGGGATAAAAAGTAGCCTATGCATTATTCCAGATTTTAATCTATCTTTGTGCTAAATTTGATCCAGATCCGTTCAGCCGTTCTGGCGTGAAAGAGTAACAACATCCATACATACTCACAAACTTTCACATTTATAATATTTATACGGATGTATGTATTTTGAATTTTTTACCTGTGTATTATTTACGTTTCATGTTATATTCAAACGGCGAAAGTATGTTTGTTGGTTTGTCATGTCTTCACGAAGTGACAAGTTACGAATGATCGATGTGATTTTTTTATATATAAGTAGAAATATTTTTTGAGCCTAGGCGCGATTTATTTGTGGCAACTTTGATACCAGTACTTAAAATTAAGTGAATACAATAGTAAGGGAATATATATATATATATATATATATATATATATATATATAAAAATCGATGTGTATGTATGTTCAGTATGGACTCCAAAACAGCTGGAGCGATTTGGATGAAATTTTTAGGAAATCTACATATTAGCGCAGTGGGTGATCCTGTGAAGTTTGGTAGCGATCAGAAAGAATGCGGGCGAGGCCGCGGATACTGCTAGTTATAAGAATACTTTCCTAAACGCAATAATAGATCAATGTCCTTCATACTTTTTTAATATTATAAATGTGAAAGTGTGTTTGTTTGTTTTGTCTTTCACGTCAAAACGGCTCGGCGGATTGTCGTGATTTTTTGTGTGGAGATAGTCGGAGGGCTGGAGAGCGACATAGGCTACTTATTACCGCGGGAGACGATCTCTTTCCCACGGGAAAACAACCTTATGATGCAACCTAAAAAAATATTTATGCTCAGAATTACTTGAAACTTGGTATTAATGCTCTTCAACACAATTAAATAAATAGTGTTTTAGCATTTTTCGAAATTCATCCCACAAGAGGGTAAAATAGGGGACAAAAATTTGTATGAAACCTACCTTTTTAAAGTTTTTTTTTTGTAGTATCAGCGCGAGCGAAACCGCGGGTTCTGTTAGTTTAATATAAATTTAGCTTTTCTTATTAGTAAAGGCTATATTGATGCGATGAAAGGCAAACCGCTGTTTTCACACACAAGAAAGGCTTTCAATGGACTTTTTCACTTTTTCATATAGAATAATGTCAATTATTGAATTGTTTTTTGATGAATTGATCAATTTTATATCCACCGATTAAATAAATCCTGATATACGAGCTTTACAGGTTGAGATCTCCACTACGCTTCTTACAGACAATCTATCCTACTAATATTACGTATAAAGAGGAAAGTTTTTTGTGTTTGTATCGAATAGGCTCCGAAACTACTGAACTGATTTAGATGAAATTTGGTAAGAAGATAGTTTGAGACCCTGAGAACGACATAGGATAGTTTTTATCCTGGAAATATTCCGTTAAGGGGCTGAAAATGGGGATGAAAATTTGTATGGGGAAGCAACCTAGGGACGAACCCGGGCGAAGCGAGGGTGAGTTGCTATTCTTATATACATTAGAGAAATGACAGTTTTTTTTTTAATTTGATCATTTTTTTATTGTTTACAGTTCTGGAAGAAGCAAACGTATTAGAACAATATTTACGCCAGAACAATTGGAAAGGCTCGAGGCGGAATTCGAAAGACAGCAGTACATGGTAGGACCTGAGAGATTGTACCTAGCTCACGCACTACAACTCACTGAGGCACAGGTTAGCAATATAATTTAATCGAATAATGTGTAAAACATAATCTATTTAATTTTCGATATTATAATCGATAAATATTATTTATTTATAGTGCTATTCATCCTCCATCCACTCGGGTTCGTCCCTATTGTACATTATAACAGTTAGTATAGATTTCTCAGAGATGTGATATTTTCCCCCAATTAAAAGTATCCTAAATATTGACCCGGATTACCAGCAACCATTATACCAAATTTCATCTAAATTTGTCCAGTGGCTTTCTCGTGATGCGTTCCCAGACAGACAAACAGACAAAAATTCTAAAAACTATAGGTTCGGCCTCTGTATCGATGATAAAAACTATTTCATTAAGATTTTCCAAAAAATACTTAATGTACAGATTCGACTCAGTTAGAATTTTATTATATGTATAGATAGATAATAATTATAAGCAACACTATACCACTCAATAATAGATAAATTTATAAATTCCTTGTTCTGAGGGAATCGAACCCGGTATGAGGTTCAAAGGGTTAGTGGGTATTTCTTCATATTCGCAAAAAGTAGCCTGGAAATACAAACGAATTCTCAGAAAGCATGTCTTAAGTACATAAGTCTGGTCACCGCGTCATAATCATGAATAGTGTTTATATTTATATTCATAACATGTATGTATTTAAAGTTATATATGTGTAGTGTATCAACTATCTGGTATCCATAACACAAGCCTCGTAGCTTACCATGGAGCGAGATAGTGATGTGTGTTAATGTCCCAAAATATTTATTTATTTATAAAGGAATTTCTATATTTATTTATTGATTTTTTTAGGTAAAAGTATGGTTTCAAAATCGCCGTATAAAATGGCGTAAGCATCACCTCGAAGTGACTCAACAACGGCTAGCTGTGCTTCAAAGGCACAGGCCGGAGGGAGACGATGTATAGATAAAATATATATTTAAATATTAATATTATTATTATTGAATATCGGATTATATGTAAGCATTATTTGGCATTTCATTATATTTTGCCATTTATAAATTTTGGAAGAAATTCAGCATGTTAGAAAACGTAGCTAGACTCATCCTCGTTACGCTCGGGTGCGTTAATACTACGTTTCAATTCTTTTTTTAAAATAAAAGTAGCCTAAGTTACTCCTTACAACATCAGCTATCTGCCAGTGAAAGTCCCGTCAAAATCAGTCCAGCCGTTTCGGAGATTAGCCGGAACAAACAGACAGACAGAAATTAAAAAAAATGTGTTTTTCTTATAAGTACCGTATATAATTTCATATGTGTTTAGTAAAAAGCCGTTGTTTTGACATTACAAACAGACACTTCAATTTTATTTATATGTATAGATAAGTTGACTTTGTAATTTTCTGTAATTAATCGATGCTCTGTAATAATGTTACCTTAAAGATTTAAGAAAAATGCTTAAAATAAGCTTATATTACATTGTAAATGTACTGTTGATAACCTTGCCAATAATAAAAAAATATTCTCAGCTAACTTCTGCTTATTAAATACAAGATATCTCGGTCGTTCTGCTTCCGTTAACTTTTTTGATTGAAATATTACAGATTTTTTAAGTATTTTTTTTTGTATAAATATATTTTTATACTTATACCTATGATTTATAATATTTGTCTATTTAAAAAAATATGTAGTAGGTACTCATTTAAAATTCAGGCTCTTATTGCAAAAATGTGCTTTACTTTTTTTAAAAAAAAAGAAGATTATTTTTTTTATTAAAAAAAAATATTTTTTCAGGCTTGATTTTGGCTCTATTAGGTAAAAATGCCTATTGTTATTTTAGTGTTGTATTTGTATGTACATGTAATTAAGTGAAATAAGAGTGACATAGGCTACTTTTTACCACGGAAGATCATCTCTTTCCCGCGGAAAAACACGATATAATACAACCCAAAAATTATGTATGATCAGAATTACGTGAAACTTGGTATTAATACTCTTCAGTACAATTAATTAAATACGTGTTTTAACATTTTTCAAAATTCATCCCATAAAAGGGTAAAATAGCGGATGAAAGTTTGTATGAAACCTAATATTTCAGAGTTTTTTTTTATAATTTTAGCGCGAGCGAGCGAAGTCGCGGGTTCTGCTAGTAATGTTATAATTTTCAATAATATTATATATTTTTTACATTCATTTATAAATTCAAATTAGAATAAAAGACAGGTATTGGCCGCACGTTCACTCTCTCTCTTTCTAGAGAGTGGTAAATTTAATGGTATGTATGTATATTGCTCAGTCCATACTCTATGTCTATGGCTTAGATAGACACTGACAACCTTTTTAGTCTAACTAAAATCTGATTTAAGAATAAATAATGTATAGTTATTTATTGTTATTTGTTGCATATAATCCGATGTTAATTATATAATTTATTTAATTTTATCTAAGGACGTTTTAGAGTTTAGGATTAACTGTATATTGCTTGTGACATATCTTAGATACAGTATTATTAAAAAAAAAACAGCGAATATATTTATTATTGACATTTAATTTTTTAATCTGTAATTATATAGTTTTAAGAAAGTAGTGTTTTAATCCTAAAAGGGAATGATTGGTTTATTTAATATTAATTAATAGAAAAAAAAGCCTTTTCGGCCATAATCGATAGGTACTAATATTATGTTCAATTTTCAATTTTAGAAACAACATTTTTTTTATTATTGTTTAAGTTATACCTAAATTGACACCTACCTGCTGTAAATATTTTTTATTAATTTGAATTGTATGTAGATTAAATATATTTAGAATATAGTGATTTATTAATAAACTCTGTATCATATTATATAATATTTTATGTCATTTCCCTCTTTTTTATATCTAATAGTTATTAAGTTTATTTCGCCGAATATTTTTAAGATCGAGATAATAGCTTCAAGTCTGGGAGAATGACAATTTATTTGTATGGGATTAGGCACCTACCTAATTCGGGCTATTTCTCGGGCTATTTTTGTTTGCTTGAATAGATGTCGTTGATTTGCATAGATTAAACTGTTTCATTTTATAAATATATGCAAACTAAAGAATGATAAATATTGTAACATTCATTCTGCATTCGAAAAAAAATCAGCAATTTTAATAATTTTTAGCCGTGATAAACAATTCATAAAAAATAAAAGCGCCATCTGTGAATATACTCTACAAACCCATCATCTGATTGCTGATTTTTCAATAAATGAATAGTAAAATTACGTTGCTCGCTTCGCTCGGGTTCGCTTCTAGAAAAACAAAACAAATCTATCCCACGGGAACCGATCATTTTTTCGGGATAAAAAGTAGCCTATGTGCTATTATAGACTATAATCTATCTCTGTGCCAAATTTCATCCTGATCCGTTCAGCCGTTCTGGCGTGATTGAGTAACAAACATCCAAACATCTAAACTTTCCTATTTATAACTCGTTGACTGCCCGTGCATTAAATGTAATGCATTCGGGATCGACCGTATGCACGTCTGTGCATTAGATTTAATTGTAAACTCAATAGCATTTTCTAGACTAAGCGTGGGAGCTAGATTTTTTATGCTTAACAGACGTATGGGTAATAAACATGGAAAAATATGTCCCGCCGATTTTTTTTTAATTTATAACTTTTTTAGACTTATGTAATCTCGAGGAGAAACTAATCAATGAGAATCGTTAGCGTTAGCTTAAATAAAATGCTTTTTAACAAGCAAGACATTCAGTTAGGACCTGTGTAGCCTTTTTTCTTGTTTCGTTGGTTGTTGACCCAGTTTCTTTAAGGTTTCGGTAGTAGCTTGCGCAATGTTTTTAACTCGATGATTTACGTACCGGCGAGTGGTAGCTGGCTGGCTGGACTGCCACGTCTACCTTTCTTGCCTTCATTAGGTATATGTTCAAACCACTTTTTGGTTTCAGCACAAAATAAAGTTTACTCAAACAATGAAACAACATTTTATGAACATTTACTCCTCCACCTCAAGGTTGCCTGGAAGAGATCGCTTCCAGCGATAAGGCCGCCTGCTGTGCATCTTTTCTTTGTGTTGTTTTTTTTATTTTATATTTATTTTTGGTGTACAATAAAGAATATTATTATTATTATTATTACCTATTACTAGCTTTGAAATGGGGCTACCACCAAGAAAAACAAATCTGCTTTTAAGAAAGTGGCTTTTAACGTCTATATATTATCTGTAATGCACGCAAATCAAGCCGAAACCGCCGTGCATTAATTGTATTATGTAATATACGTAAATCAAGGCGAGACGTTCGTGCATTATATTTAATTCACGCTAAAGGTTTTAATTGATAAGGGAATTTTATTAACTTATTTTACCTTCATTCGCCTCATAATATAACGTTTTATTAAAAAATACGTAGTATTGTTGATCGAAGTAATGCCATATGTAAGCTGTAACACCCAAAATAATAGGGGCAGTCAACGTGATAATATTAGTAAGAAGTAAGACTAGGAGAACAGGTGACGTTCTCCCGACACATCTGGTTTGGTCGGAAAATAAAAAAAAAATATATCGACAACAGCGCCACTCACCGGTTATTATAGCTTAGAACCTTCCAGCCGACCCATCGATCAAAAACGTACTAGATACACAATCAAGCGACGAAAAAAATCCTTACCGAATGAGCGCTCATTTGAACATATGAGCGCGCTTTTAATTTAGTAGTATTCGATAATACTTTCTTAGATTTGCGCGAATATTTAACATTTTAAATAAAACTATCTTTTCGATTTATTTCGCGGATTTATATGGTTTTTGGTTCCCGACGTTTCGAATGCTGTACAACAATCATTGTCACGGGAGAGACTGAGGTGTTAGATGTCTCGAAGGTATATTTGTTACAGACAGCCTACCCACAAATAAGAAAATGAAAATTGCACCAATTACCTTACAATATTTTTTAACTTTAAACATTTTTAAAATTTTATTTTTAAAATTTTGAAAACGAATAGATAGATTTAGTAGCATTCGAATGCTCCGACGGCAAACATACCTCGGTGCTCGTTTAAAAATTGCAAAAATCATACATAAGGATGCTAAAAACGGATGGAGTTTCACATTTTCGGTAAGTATCAATATTATTATTATATAATTATTATTACTTAACTTTTATGGACTCCATGGACTTTCTTGCAGAAGAAGTTCAGGTAGACTTTTCCGTCATGGTTCCCTAAACGATACCATCAAAAGGGCTCCTGCTACCATTGACACAAGTCGAGATGATGGTAAGAGATCTGATGGTCTATCGCTGGTTCCTTGGGAAAGGGGACGGGCCCTATTGTGGGACGCTACATGCGTTGACACATTGGCCTCGTCCCATGTCAGGGAGACGGCGTCTAAAGTGGGAGCCGCGTCGGAGAGGGCTGAAGTATTTAAGTTACGTAAATACTCCTCCCTTGGTCAAAAATATATTTTTATTCCATTTGCTGTAGAAACCCTTGGCCCATGGAGTCAAAGTGCTAAGCAATTCTGAAAAGACATAACATCTCGTCTTATAACCTGGTGACAGGAGGGCTGGTGCATTTTTCGCCCAAAGAATCGGCATTGAATTTCAACTAGAATTACCTAAACACAATTGGTGACAGTTTTAAAAGAACTTTTGCATGGGATTGTGAATCTGCTATTTTTTTAATCGATGAGCTGACCCCATAAATACACATAGATTTCAGCAAATCGGTCAAGCAATTTAGATAGAGAAGAATTACGAACACACGCACACTGAGATTTTATTTTTATGTATAAAGATAATATAAAAAACGTTAAAGATTAATATAAACATAACTTTACTTATCCAGTAGATACCATTACGAATCTTATATTATATTTTTAATTAATTTTAATTTTATGTAGGTAATTAATTTTAATTTGATATTATGAAATTTAAATATTAATTCACAAATGCATCTTTTTCTACAGAATGATTTTTTGCGGTAACTGCTTTATTTTATAAGACCACAAAAAGAACGAAATTCATAGATATATTGTTATTATCTTACCAAACTATTTACAACATAAATATAATTATTCTTCAGGGATCCGTAGCCATAAGCAAAACAGGAACTCTTATAGTTCCATCATGTCCGTCTGTCACATTTTTTCATTTCCCATCCTTATTCCGTAGTCCTGGGTTCGAGTATTATAGTAAGTAAAAGTTTGATCCAGCATATCTATACATATAATAAAATTCTAACTAAGCCGTATGTGTAGATTGAATATTTTTTGGAAATTTTTATTGAAATAGACTTTATTATCGATACAGAGTCCTAATCTATAGTTTTTAGAATTTTTGTCTGTCTGTCTTTCTGTCTGTCTGTTACCGCATCACGGAAAAACCACTGGAGGGATTTTGATGAAATTTGGTATGGTGATAGCTGGTTATCCGGGTCAACATATAGAATACTTTTTACCGCGGGAAAATATCTCATTTCTGAGAAAAAATACAAAAACTGCATTGTAAGAGTATACTAATATGTAAAACCTAAGAATTAGGTTTTTCTCATTTGAACGCGGGCGGAGCCGCGGGAAATACTAGTTGTTTATATAATTAAAGTTGTGTTATTAAATTTATCCAGCTATTCTTAATTAACTGATATGAATATATTAAAACTATATTTTTAAAAAGAGAGATATTCTAGATATGGAGTCAGCTTTTTAATAACAAACAAAAAATATTATAAAATATATTTCTTATCCCCTCTTTTTAACACGCTTTAATTAGCTTTTATTACTTGTATCTATATAACGAAATCTTTGAAACGTGATTTTCACCCAATTCAAAAGTTCATATTGAACTAAAACTGCATAAAAAAAGCGTTTAGAGCTCGATATCAGTTTTTATAAAAAATCCATTGCTGCGATTTCTAAAAGTAGATTTAGTATAAAAATATTGTACAAAGCATCCCACGCTTTTTTCACAACGACATAAATTTTCTTGTTGATCACTTTATTCTTATATTAAAAACATTTCTTACTTTTCAGTTCGGTTCATCATTAGGTAAAGCGTGTTTTTAGTCTTTTAAACTATATTTAATGTCCCACTGCTGGGCACCGGCCTCCCGTGAATGAGAGCGGGGTTATAATCCACCACCCTAGCCAAGTACAGGTTGGTGGACGTCACGTCTTTCGTCATAAATAATAATAAATATTTTGGGACATTAACACACAGCACCATCTAGTTCCATGGTTAAGTTACGAGGCTTGTGTTATGGATAACAGATAGTTGATACACTACAAATATTTATATAAGTAACTTTATTTAGATAAAACCGAACAATGAAGACCGTCAGCGGCACTCGAACCCGCAACCGTTGGTACAGCAAGTAGGGTCATTACATACTGAGCCAAACGTATCGTCAAATCGAGAATTCCTCACACGTTCGAGTACCGCGCATGATAAATATATTATTCATATAAGAACATATTGGTTGTGATCTTTTAAAATATATCTAGTGGAGAATAATGATATTTTAATGATATTTCGAAATAATTCTAATTCTAATTAGTTACGTTTGTAAGTAATTGCGTCACTGTATACAAATGATTGGGTATAAGTAAAAGTCAGTATAACCGGTCACATGATAGTGATGAGCGTGTATCGATTTGTAAAATCGATTTATTTTCATTTAGATATATAAATGAATGTTGTTCTAATAAAATTATAAACTATGTTTCCTGCTTTAATGTTTGCATAACAATAATTAAAGTTTACCCGTCGTTTTTATTATTATTTTTATTTTTATTATTTTTATGTTATATCACCTTGTAACGAAGAGACTTTCGAAATAACAATTATTATTAAATAAACTTAGAAATATGCTACTTTTTTCTCATCTATTCATTAGGACATACCCTCTTCTTTGCCTGTACCCTTGTATTATATTGGCTAAATTAACCAACAAACATAAAAAAGGAATAAAGCAGAAACATACTTTAATTAATTTATCCACAGGAAATAACTGACACAGTTTTACGTAAATAACTTTTTCCCTAAAGAGTTAAATAGATGTGCATGATGACTTGAATTCAGAATTTTGTTTGATCATAATGATTAATTATTACCATTAAAAATGAAAATATAAAATAAATAAAACGTAACTAACCCTAAAAATTCGCTAAAATGGACAAGTATATTCTTATGTATGAATGATTTCCAACCTGATTATCATTTGCCTTACGATGAAGGAAAACATGGTTAGGAAACCTGCGTATCTAAGAAAACCTAGCTAGTTTACGAAAGACATGTGAAGTCCGCCAACCCGCTCTTGGCCAGCATGATGGACTAGGGCGTGATCCGCCTTGTACTGAAGAGATTCCCGTGCTCGGCAGTGGGACGTTTAAATACATTACAACGCTAAAAATTATATTTATTTTTATAACAAACTTAACAGCATGAATAATAATATTATTAATATTAGAAATCTTAATAAATATCGCTTATATATTATTCAATAACTATTATAAATGCTACAAAATCGATATTATTTTATCTAAAACATAAAAATCAAGTCACGACATCACTATACAATTTGTTTACAAACACCAAGCGCGTATCATTGATCATTCTGTTTATTGTTATTTACAAGACGCACGTTCCACTCGTGACTGTGAAATTTTTATAGTGAAAATGAGTGTCATGGATAGTTTTGAAGGTAACTTATTAAAAGATAACCAACTTATATATTATGTAAATTAATTTAGTATGGCATATTTTGTATAGTATTAACTTCATGAAGTTTTGTTACAAGCTTAGAGTATGTAACCCTTTTTAGTTACAATGACGACACGTTTGGCTCAGTTCGTAGTGACGCTACTTGCTGTGCCAGCGGTCGGGGGTTCATGTCCCGCTATATAATAACTTTATTAGATTTCGTTTAATTTACGTTATTAATGACATATTTGGTTAACAAGATCACTGTTTTCATTACTGTAAGTAATAGAAAACGATCATTTTCAAAAGTTAACTTATACGGTTTTGCCCTAAACTTGCTCCAAAACCGGGTATACCCACCCACTTGTTATACCCGACTTTGCCCCTTAGCAACGGAAATAATGGAACTCCACCAGTTCTTCTCGGTCTGAACCATTACAACCTTCATGGGCCCATTTCTTTCACTTAAGACATTGCACTCAATCATCACTTATCGTCTGAAACCTTCTTCTTTTTGGTTTTTTTTCGACAAACGAGACGATATCCACATTTTTCGTCTATTACTATATTATTTTTTTTGTCGTTCTTTTATAATTTCATGGCATTTTGTTGTGAACTGTAACAATTTATCATATAAATAAACTGCATCAAAATCCGTTGCGTAGTTTTAAAGATCAAAGCATACATAGGAACAGACAGAACAGACAGAAGCAACTTTGTTTTATACTATGTAGTGATATCCATACTAATATTATAAATGTGAAAGTGTGTTTGTTTGTTTTTAGTTTGTTTGTTTGTCGTGGAAACAAAATGACGGATTGGCGTGATTTTTTTGAGTGGAGGTATTTGGAGGGCTGGAGAGTAATACAGGCTACTTTTTACCGCGAGAAATTATCTCATTCCCACGGGAAAACACGTTATAATACAATCCAAAATATATAAATAAATAAAAATATTTATGCTCAGAATTACTTGAAACTTGATATAAATGCTCTTCAATACAATTAAATAAATACGTGTTTTAGCATTCTTCGAAGTTCGTCCCATAAGGAAGTAAAATAGAGGATGAAAGTTTGTATGGAAACCTAACATTTTAGATATTTTTTTTGTAGTTTTAGCGCGAACATAGCCGCGGGTTGTGCTAGTAAGTTTATAAAAGTAGGAAGTGGAAGCGTAAATATTCGAGGTAAACGTTGAAAGGCAGTAAATATGTACCTAGGGCCGTAGGTCTTGGTCATATTTTTAAATAAAGTATGAAACAAATTTCATTCTACCGACTCGCAAACCAAGGTAGGTAAGGTTTTTGGCACCAGAAAAGCAGGTGTTCTTGACCCATATTTTAAAAAATACTAATAATTTGACAAGTTTGACGTTAATTTTAAAGAAAAAACAAAAAATAACCTAAAAAATGTTCTTCTATGGGATTTCCTCATAAATTAAGTAGGTATATTTTGTTCTAGAACCGCGTTTTATAAAAAAAAACATATTACTCTTGGAATAAAGCTTAAGATTAAAAATCAACATCAGTTAAATAATACGTAAAATACCGTGTAAACATACACCAAAAAAATTACATCCACTTCTTATTAGTCTGATATTAGCCTTATTACTTGTATTATCATTATCAAAGGAATAAATTATAAGAATGTAAAGTTTTTTTTTTTAATATCTTTTGCCAATGTCATTTGAGTACGTTCACTGAACATCGTATTTAGTACCTATAATTCACGTAAAAAATGTAATATGTGTGTGATTTGTGATTTTTATCTATACTAATATTATAAAGAGGTAAAGTTTGTGGGTTTGTGAGATTGTGAGCTTGTGACGTTGTAGGGGGTAATCTCTGGCTCATCCTCGCTTCGCTCGGGTTCGTCCCTAGCTTGATTCCCCATACAAACTTTCATCTCCATTTTCACCCCCTTAAACGATCATTTCCTGTATAAAAAGTATCCTATGTCCTTCCCAGGGTCTCAAACTATCTTTTTCCCAAACTTCATCTAAATCGGTTCAGTATATCATAGATTAACCCCTACAACGTCACAAACTCACAATCTTTACCTCTTTATAATATTAGTTAGTATAGATGTATGTTTCTTTGTCAAATCATCTTTTAAGTTCGCTTTTTACGCAAACGGTTTTTTTAATTTTTGTGATTTTTTACAGCTTTTTATTTTTGGTCAGACAATTATTCTTTGTTTTATTTAACTATTTCTTGTCCTACATTTTTTTTGAAACATATAACTTGTGTATAATTTTAAAAATCTGTATTTTGATAGCCCAGGCCCACTCGATTCTCTTGGACATTTTTTTTTCATTACACACAAATTAGCGTCTAAGAAACGACATTTTGATTCTTAATGATATCCACACTATTACACTCGCGTTATGAAGACTAATCTAACGATGTATGAATCATCCAAATCTTTTAAGCCGTTTAGTAATTATGAGGGAACATAGGGTCGGACATACATACATACAGGTCATACACATAATACTTTACTTTGGGCTTCGTCACAGTAGGGTAAAAAGAAGGTTATAGATAAATTATATAATCCATCAGTGTATTAAATATCATCCAAATCCGTCGAAATAGTTTAGCATAAAGAAAAAGTCAATGTTTCGTATCAAATCGCAAAAGGTAGCAGGATTGCACCCGAGCAAAGCAAGGAGAAGACACAAGTATATATTTCGTATATAACTTAAAATAAACAAAGACAAACTTTATAACTGTTTATCAGAGAACAGCGTCTGTTTATCAAACAACAAAGCATTTCCCTCGGGGGCATTCTGATAAAATGTGATAAATCATAAATATTATAGTTTTTGTTTTCGTATGATAAGCATGCAGATATAGACTCTACGTAATTTTAGCTGTCTATCTTAATTGTATGTAAATGTATTATATAGATAAAAAATATTATCGTCCATTAACTTTCAAATGATAAAGTTTCGGCGAAAGTCATACAGAGTTCGGATTACATCCATACTAATATAATAAAGAGGTAAAGTTTGTGAATTGCGAATTTGTGAGTTTTTGACGTTGTAGGGGGTAATCTCTGGATCTACTGAACTGATTTAGATAAAATATGGTAAGAATGTAGTTTGAGACCCTGGGAAGGACATAGCATACTTTCTATCCTGGAAATCGTCCCTTAAGGGGGTGAAAATGGGGATGAAAGTTTGTATGGGGAATCAACCTAGGGTCGAACCCGAGCGAAGCGAGGGTGAGTCGCTAGTTGCTATGTATAATACTAATCTTTATCAAATGCTAGTGGCCGAATTTCGACCATTAATTTTAATGATTTTTTATTGATAACAATAATGCTCATCAATAGCTACTAAGCAAAAAAAAAAAACAGTCATGAGAACTGCTGACGAAAGTTTAAACTTAAAACTATAAACAAACAGTTCTTATTTTTGGATATTCAAATTAATTATTTGATCTTATAATTAAAATTTGTAAATTAAAACTGTTTGCATTTATCTGGTTTTGACATCTATCGACACTTACATGAATTTACTCCCCATCCAAATAAACCTGTCTTAGATAGAATTTTTCACTTAAAAAAAATAAGATAATTGGTTGACAAATAGAGGAGAGAAAGGCACTGAACTGTGTTGCCTTTGCCTATTAATATATTTATAGTTAATTTAGACCATATGATATTTATATTTTTTTACGTAATTATAATATGCCAATACCTCATAGGTTTTGCTGTAATCGAAATAACAAATTTGAAATTATGTATTCCAAAATACCTGTTATTTATGCCGCTTCTAAAAAAAAAGTATAGCAATTTCTTCAACATGAGTGTGTGCGCAAACACAATTACATTCTCACACGCACACAACTATACAAGAAACTAGGGTCGCATGATCTGCATACCGTATAAAATTATAGCCAGATCAATGAAGGAAACTGTCTTGACCCAAAAAAACAACTGTATGATTATCTAATACTATCTCTTTGCGAAAATCTGAGGTCATTTTTTTGGATAATGGCTTAAAAGCGTGCCAGTTGAGTACAGATTACTTCGCCAATGTCACTTAGAATGAGAAGACGCGAAGGAAATTGGTCGAACCACGTTTTATATGGTGAATGGTGATATCTTATGGATTTCGTCCACGGCGGTTAATCTCACTGAGAATAGCCTACTACGCAGAAGATATTAATTAGTGCACAAGTGTTCGCTCAGACACAAGTGCACTCTCGTAACCTTTTCACTCTCAAAAGTCCGATGGAACGAAACTTCCCAACTCCGGGCTGCTACTGAGAATGCCTCAACCGAAAACTAAACAACAAAACTTGGCTCGACCTGAGACTCGAATCCCAGAAACTCCAGATCTACGGCCGTATATCCTAGCTGCTAGACCTTGGGATTTCAATATATACTATGACCCTGTTACGATTTTGTTATGCGTAGGTATCGAATATAATTACGTAATATATCGTTTATGTAGAAACTAGAAAGTCGATATTTCCTTATAAGTAATCTGTTGCGGTAACGTTTAGATAACGCATTACATCACTATATAGTCTTATAATAGGCGCTTCACTATCAAAACATTAAACATGTCTTCCTTAATGTTTTTAAAACAATGTAAGTTTAAAATATTATTATTAAGTACAGTAAAATAAGCCAAGTGCGAGTCGGATTTACTACAACTATGATTAAAATTTTAGCGCAAATTTGATTCACAACCGGTTTTAATGTTTATTGTTTTGCCTTATAATTTGCTCTAAACCTGCTTAGCCGTTAATCTTAAGAAAAACCGGAATGTGAGACTTCACTTGTAGTATACATTAAAATATAAGAAACCTACTACTACTTTAATTAGGAAAAGAACTGTAAGTATTCTTGCACAAACGAATCTTGGACTTGGCGATTTTTTTGGGACATCGTAAATCGTTGGAAAAATAAACCATCGCTGCGATACCTCTCTCTTCATTTCTAACTTGTACAAAATTCTTCCAGCCTTTTTTTAAAATAATTTGTCATTTGTACCTTCAAATGTATATAAAAATATCATTCTTTTGTTTACCTTTTCAGATGCTAAAACACGCTTGGGAGGATGGGAGGAAATCTACACAGATTTCGATGGATATATCTGTAAATTCAACAGGTGTTTTTATAGAAGGTAAAAATTTAAACATATTTTCTATTGATATACAACAACTCAAGATACGCATTTAGCATCTGAAAAGTGTCCCCAAAAATAGTGCACAATTCGAAATTATGCGCTTTTTTCTAATCTCTTTTGTTCGTTACTTTTCAAATGACAAAATTTAAACGCACGTTGTTTTTTTTTTAAAAGTACTTAATGTGATTTTTCTTTCGATTTTTGAATTTTATTCATCAGTTTGACTTGTCGTCTTGACGTTGTCGTCACATGTCGACTTTACTTTTGAAGAGATATTGGTTTAGAAATGTGTGTCTATGTTTTTACATATCATTTTTTTTACATATTATTAAATAAAAATAATAAAACAATATATTTTGGAGGCGCCGGGTATCGATCCCGGTACCTCTCGCATGCTAAGCGAGCGCTCTACCATCTGAGCTACGCCCCCGTTGTTACTCAAAGCTTATAGTAGGTACTGTACTTACTATGAAACATTTATTTAAAATAAGTAAATTCTGTACGTGAAGGCGATGCCTTTCACTCATGACTACAATTTGGTTCGAAAAAGTACCTAAGTATTTTTGTTACTAAATTTTAACATCTTATTACCACAGATAACACAATACTATTCTATCTAGTAGACGTGCCTCGTCCCATACAAAGATATTAAGCCACTTCTATTTTTTTTGTATACCCAAAAGATGGCATTGCTCTACAAACTAACGATCTATAATTTTATTTTATAAAAATCTGTATTGATATTAAGTACATTAAAATAAACCATTATTTCTCAACCATTTTTATGTCGTGAGCCACGAAAAAGCCAAAAAGTTAAGTAAAAAGTCTTGAGGCCCTGTCAATATAAAATTGTACAAAGCGTGCTATTTTTATTATATATATATATTTTATTTTATATTTATTATTTAAAAATTTGACTTTTACCGTTTTTAATCATGCTATAACTCTTAAAGTATCAGTGATATCTTATGTATCTACGCACTACAAATTAATTACCTAATGGCTGATTTTTCCATCACTGTAATTCGTAAACTCATGGAAAATAATTTGTGCGCGCGCGGCGCATGTGTGCGTGTGTCTGCGCGTGTGTGTGAGTGCGTATGCGCGTGCCTGTGCGTTTGTGTGTGTGATGTGTGGATAGATTTGAATAGAATAAAAATAAACTACTTGTAGTGATGATGATGTTCTCCTAGCCGATTCCGGCTACGGCAGCCAATCTCATTGAGACTAGCCAACTGCGCAGGAGATATTATAGTGCTCAAGTGTACGCGCAGACACAAGTGCACTCTCTATTCCTATCACTCTCATACTCCGGTGGGACGACACGAGACACGACCGGTGAGAGTTAAGGCGCAGGACCGACGGCTTTACGTGCTCTCCGAGGCACGGGGGTGAAACACCGCCAACTTCCCAACTCCGGGCTGTTACTGAGACTTACTTTACAGAAAGACTCAGTAACTAAACTTGGCCCGACCCGGGACTCGAACCCAGGACCTCCGGGTGTGCAGCCGTACATGCTAGCCACTACATATATATGTTACTTGTAGTAACATATATATGTAGACTATTGTTAGTGTAGTATTTAGGGATTAACTCAGGACTCGAGCGATACGAAGTATGTCAATAGACATTGGTATAATTTTAAAATTATAAAAATGTGATTTGAAAAACAGTTGTTTAATTTTTTGACTTATGATTTATAATTATGTACATTCTTGATCATTATAATGATTTAAATAAATCTCCTCAGATACAAACATAGAAATAAAAATCGGTCAAGTGCGAGTCGCACTCGCACACGAAGGGTTCCGTACCATAATCGTTTTCTTTAATTTGCACGGCAGCCTTTTTGAAATTCGCCATCTTGGTTTTTGATTATTTGTTGTTATAGCGGCAATAGAAGTACACACTCTTTAAAATTTCAACTCTCTACCTATTACGGTTTATGAGATACAGCCCTTTGACAGATGGACGGACGGACAGGGAAAGCTTAGTAATAGGGTTCCGTTGGAACCCTTTTTTTTTTTTTTTTTTTTTTTTTTTTTTTTTCTTTTGTTGACGCTGGGGAAACCCATCATGGGGACCCTACCGGCCGTCAATGGGTAGGGTACTGTGAGACTCCTACTCACTAAAACCCACAGCGGAACCCGTCGCCGCAGTGCAATGGGGTGTGCAGGATCGCTTGCGCATTCACTGCAACACCCCTGCGGACAGCCCGTACCCCGCGGGCCTGCCTCGCCTAAACCGGGATGCCCTCGATTCACAGAGCATCCCGACCGCCCCGATGACGTGCAGGGGAGTCAACGAGAGACCCCCCCGCAGTAGCTCCTCTAGGGTGGCGGGAGAAGAGGTACGGAACCCTAAAAATAGCAGATATATTTAATGGTTATTTGGTATCGCATAAAAAACTATAATAACGTAATGTATAGACAGACACGTTAATTATATTTATGTCATAGATTGGAATTTGAAAATACCAATGATCGTGATTGAACGTGAGTCACAATATCTTTTAGTTATCTTCAGAATATAAGTTTTCTGTTAATATAAAAATGGCTATAATAAGTCACGTATCTATAACTTCCATTTATATCTTTTTTTATCTTACATCTGTTCTTGAAGTTTGTGTAAAATTAACAAAAGTTAAAAAAAAAGATCCCAAATGGTACTAATGGTTTTAAAATTCAAAATGAAATAATCCGCTCGTAAATTAATATGTGCGTAGTATTAGGTATTGATTGTTGAATAATTATTATAAATTAAAAATTTAAATAACCCCCTACGCAAATTGTCGTTTAACAATTACACTGGCACGCGTGAAGCACTTAATGAGTAATCATACGCCACAATGCCTTACATCATTTTGGAAAAGAGCCGATACTCTTACACTGCCGGACCGATATTGACCAAACATAGCTAAAAACCACCGCAAGGAAACTGAATTTCAAATGACAAAAAACGCATCGAAATCGGCCCATCCGTTTGAGAGCTACGATGCCACAGACAGACATCGACGTTCAACTTATAACACACCTCTTTTTGCATCGGAGGTTAAAAATAAGCACTTAGATAGGTTCGTAGTGCATATTCACAGATAACATTTTTACTTTTTGTAATTTCCATACCACGGTTAAAAACTGTTACTTGCTTATTTAATTAAATACAAGACGAGTTTTGTAATATTTATCATATTTAAGTTTTCATATATTAAATAAATACAGTCGAATTGAGAACCTCCTCCTTTTTGAAGTCGGTTGAAAAATTAAGTAGTCCCACCATTTGTCGATTAACGACATCTGTTATCTATTTAAGCAAACAAAAATAGCTCGAAGAATAGCCCGAATTAGCGTTAGCGTTGTTCAATTTCTTTGTATGGGATTTACCTAATCCCATACTAGTATTATGTTATCTGTGTTACAACATTAGAACCTATTTTTTAAAGTAGCAATTATGCATAAGCATATTACGCAAACGTAGCCTTGGACAAGGACTATTATTATTATGAAGAGACAAAAAATTATTTATACTTATACTCATTATGTATACAAAACGATTGTACACTCAATTATTATTTGACGACACGTTTGGCTCAGTTTGTAGTGATCCTAGTTGCTGTGCCAGCGGTCGCGGGTTCGAGTCCCGCTGGGGGCATTCATTTGTGTGATGAGTACGAATGTTTGTACACCAGTCATGGGTGTTTATTTATAATATGTATGTATTTAAAGTTATATATGTGTAGTGTATCAACTATCTAGTATCCATAACACAGGCCTCGTAGCTTACCATGAATCTAGATGGTGCTGTGTGTTAATGTCCCAATATAATATTTATATTTATTTATTACTGTACAAGTCATTTCCGCCTAGAATAGTGGCAAGAAGGCTAGCCGTATTCCCCCGCTGAAATGCAACGCCGATTTTTTGGGCGAAGAAAAAACCAGCTCTCCTTACTTACCCAACATTTATTTTGTTTCAGATCCACACAAAACGTTGAAGAATTTCAAAGAACATTAGTTCCAAGTGTTAAGACCGAAAATCATATGCCGTTAGAAAAATTAAACATTGAAGGCATAGTTTTTAGTGAATCAACACCAAAAAGCAATATATTAAATTTTTTAAACATACGAAAAGATGGCGATGTTTTTATAAATTACGATTATACTATAAAAAAATTAGTGGAGAAACAAATTGTTTACAAATATACGAGATCAAAACTTTTATTTTGTTTCTATTAGAATTAGAACCTTTTATAAGTGTAAAAGTATGCGTGTGTGTTTGTTTGTCATTTCTGCAAGCTCAAACAGCTGGACGGATTTGGATGAAATTTAATACAGAAATAGATTTTTTTTATTATTGGAAAATGGCCCAAAAAAAAACAATTTTTTTTTCGAGTCACTTACGCAAAAAAAATTGATAGTTTATCATGTTTTAAGAGATCCTCTTCAAAGCGCAGTTATAAAAATTAAGGGGTAGCTGAAAATATTTAAAAATTTCCAAAATCGTTGAGCGACTTCTGAACATGAATATTAACGACTTTATTTTTATTATTTTTTTAAGTTGACACACTAAAAAATTGAAATAAGGCTAGAGAGATGCAAAAAAAAATCCGTGATATAAATTAATAAATATGTTGGGACATTAACACACAGCACCTAGTTTCCTGGTAAGCTGCGAGGCTTGTGTTATGGGTACCAGATAGTTGATACACTACACATACCTATATAAGTTTAAATACATCCATATTATAAATATAAACACCCATGACTGAAGTACAAATATTCATGCTCATCACACAAATGAATGCCCCCAACGGGACTCGAACCCGCGACCGCTGGCACAGAAAGTAGGGTCATTACAAACTGAGCCAAATGTGTCGTCAAATAATACCGAGAAAATATATGATGATGTCGCGTGATATAATTAAAAATGTAAAAAAACTCTTAACACGACAAGAAAAAACTAAAATTCACATGTTTTTTACAGAATAACTAAAGTATATTGATAAAAACAAGTACGACCATCAGTTGAGTATATAATACAAAATTGCTATTTGCTACTATTTACTTTTTATGGATATAAGCTTGTTTGATTAAATGCCATTATGTAAATTGGTCTCAAGTTCTTGAAAATTTATAGTATAATACTTCAAATTACTTTTAACTAGCAGAACCCGAATCTTCGCTCGCACTAAAACTACAAAAAAAAATTAAAAAAGTAGGTTCCATACAAACTTTCATCCCCTATTTCACCCCCATATGGGATGAATTTCGATGGAAAATGCTAAAACAGGTATTTATTTAACTCTATTGAAGAGCATTTATACCAAGTTTCAAGTAATTCTGATCATCATTATTTTTTGAGTTGTATTATATCGTGTTTTCTATGGAAATGAGATGATCTCCAGCGGTAAAAAGTAGCGTACTCCAGCACTCCAACTATCTCCACACAAAAAATCATGTCAAATCATCAATCGACGTGAAAGAAGGACAAACAAGCAAACAAACAAACCTATTTTCACATTTATAATATTAGTATGGATGTTTATACATAGATACTTGATATTGGCCGAATTTTATTGGGACAGCGATGTCACTGAGACTAGCATTTGCCCGTTATTAGAACTGATCTACATTATAGTGAGGATCATATAGGCCGTTCTCGGTACGATATAAACGTAACGTTTCATACCAAGAATAAAATTAAAAATGACACGTCTCAGGCATCATCTCTACTTGCTGTGACAGCGGTCGCGGATTCGAGTCCCGCTGGGGGCCATCCCCCATGGAACTAGATGGTGCTGTGTTAATGTCCCAACATATTTATTTACATTGGTATAATATGCAGGACCTTCTTATGCGAGTTCGATTTGATTTTGACTTCAATTTGCAAGTTTCTTTGGTAAAGTGTTTTGATTTTATTATTTTTATTTGATTAAGTAATTCGCAGACACGCTTAAACGTTTTTTGAATGTGATGCTTTTTTTACTAATTATTTTCAAATTTAATCTTATATATTTAAACGAGCAATTCTTGTATATATATATATATATATATATATATATATATATATATATATATATATAATTTGAATCTCGGAAACGGCTCCAACGATTTTCATGAAATTTAGTATACAGCGGGTTTCGAGGGCGTTAAATCGATCTAGATAGTCTTATGTCTGAGGAAACGCATGTTTTCGAGTTTTCATGCAGTTTTCTTTTGCATTATTCTCTGGTGTAAGCATCGTGGTCAAGCGGCCAAGGTGCAAGAAGAACAATCACAGATGTCGGGGCTCGAATATCGGTCGCATACAAAGTTTTGACTTTTGTTTTTTTTAATATTTATTCAAGTTTTTAATTTAAAAAAATTTACTTTAGGCCAAAAACTCCGAGCGAAGCTAGGTAGCCCAGGTACTATCTTAAATTAACCTGAAATAAATGTAACTGACCTTCCAAAAATCAAGTAAAATATAATTGGGTAGTGAATTCTAGCTATGTATTAATAACAAAAAAATGTTACTTTATAATAATATTATCTTTTAAATATTATACATATATTTGGTTCCTACTTACGTTTTAACGTTTAGTATAGATTTCTCATAAATAAGATATTTTCCCGCGGTAAAAAGTATCCTATGTGTTAACCGATAGATAGCCAGCTATCATCATACCAAATTTCATCAAAATCTGTCCACTGGTTTTCTCGTGATGCGTTCCCAGACAGACACACAAAAATACTAAAAACTGAAGATTCGGCCTCCGTAAATGATAATAAATAAATGGATAAATGTTGGGACATTAACACACAGCACCATCTAGTGGGAAGCTACAAGGCTTGCGTTCACGATACACTACACATATATTTTATTTTTTTATTTTATTTATTTATTTATTAACACCAACAAGACATACACTAACAAAATCATAATAATATAATTACAATAAATAATAAATTCTAAGTGCTGCCTTAATTATAGGTGTTACACACATTTCATAAAAGATAGACACAAATACAAGTAGTGAATTAAAATAAATACAAAAATTATGGGAATATTATATAAATTAAGTTGTATATAAATTGAATCAGAAATTAATATTATATGATAATTTAAAACATGCATCATTTCATAATTATACAATCGTTAAACATAAAAAATAATCTCATTAATTTACTGTTCAATGTTGACACTGATTAAAACTTAGCACATTTATTTAAATTTTCTTAATAAAAAATATACCTTTTGACTATAAATTACAATTATTCGATGAGAATAAATAAAATAAATTACGTTTAAATATCGAGAGATTATCTGAAAAAATATCAATATCAACTTTTCTATCCTTTTGTTTATCATCAGTAGTAGTATATAATTGAGAATCAAACGAACTTACCTTGTGATGTTTGATTTCATATACACACATTATAAATATAAACAACCATGACTGGACTACAAACATTCCTGCTCATCACACAAATGAATTCCCCCAGCGGGACTCGAACCCGCGATCGATGGCACAGCAAGTACACACTACAAACTGAGCTAAACGTCTTATTTTTTAGAAAATCTTATTGAAATAATGACTATTTCAACAAGAACAAAAAATATTTTATTTACAGGATTGGACTCAGAATTAATTTATTATATGTATCTATAGATAAAAATTTAACAGAGGACTAAACACAAATATTGTTAAATAATTAACATCAATGGGACGGGGAATTTTAAGGGGGGTACATCATAAGAGATAGGATGAAAGAGTCTAGGACCTTTGTCAAAATTACATTCGTACAGGGAATCCCTTGTCCTCATATTTACAGGAAGCATGATTTTATGTTTATCTTGAAGATAGTTAATGACAGTAATATAATTTAACTAGCGACTCCCCCTCACTTCGCTCAGGTTCGTCTCTAGGTCCCCCCCAACGTGCGTTCACCTTGTCGTGGTGGGGGGGCTCAGTAGTGTACTCGCGAAGCCAAGAAACGCACAGGGAGGTAGCCTGCTTCGGTGGGCGGTGGGAGGCGGCCTTCTTCGGAGGGTGGTGTACCATGCGGGTTGCTCCTGGTACTTCTCTGATAGCAGAGTGGACCGTGGAGCAACCCCATGGTTGTTGTGGTCTGCTTCGGCAGACCTGCCGTCGGGGCGTCGTAGTTGAATGCGTAAGCGATCCTGCGACGCCCCATTAAGACGGGGGAAGGTTTTGTTGGGTTTTAGTGGGTAGTACTGGCTTCGCCGGTGAGTCCCACACTTCGTGCGTAAATGCATTTCCCAATGTAAAAAAAAAAAAAAAAAAAGGTTCGTCTCTAGGTACGTTTTGACGATTATTATGGAATAGATAGACTATATATCTAATATCTATACTAATGCTATAAAGAGGTAGTTTATGACGTTGTAGGGGGTAATCTCTAGATCTACTGAACCGATTTAGATGAAATTTGGTAAGAAGATAGTTTGACACTCCGGAAAGGACATACGATACTTTTTATCCCTGAAATCATCCATTAAGGGGATGAAAATGGGGATGAAAGTTTGTATGGGGAATCAACCTATTGACGAACCCGAGCGAACCGAGGGTGAGTCGCTAGTTACTGCATCACAGAAAAACCACTGAAGGGATTTTGATGAAATTTGGTATGGTGATAGCTGGTTATCCGGGTCAACATATAGGATATTTTTTACCGCGGGAAAATATCTCATTTCTGAGAAAAAATACGAAAACTGTATTGAAAGAGTATATACTAATATGTAAAACCTAAGAATTTGATTTTTGGCTATGTGAACGCGGGCGGAGCCGCGGGCAATGCTAGTCAAAAAAATAAATTTTGGACGCAAGTCTACAACTCTGAACAAAGAACATAATTTTGTAATCTCGTGTTTATTATTTACAAGGAAGTCACCCCCGCTTCGCTCAGGTTCATCCCTAGGTACGTTTTGACGCTTAGTATGGAATAGATCTTTTTTCCTGATTTTTTCCAATGTTTTAATAGTTATTCTGCTATTCGGGGTGAAGACATATCCAACAAAATAAAGATCATAAAATTCTGTCCAGGAGTTCTCGAGTTATAAGTGTTGTAACAAACCAGACTTTGTTTTATATATAAGAATATTTTTGAATAACTATTTCAAACACTCTTCTTCTTCTCCCCGCATATTTCCCAATCACTTGGGGTCAGTGCAGTATATCTTCTGTACTGCTGATAGGATTTGGCAAAAGTTTTACGACCGGCCGCCTGCCCGACGTCAACCCTCCTTGGGAATAACTAAATGAATAACTAATAACTGTTTCAAACACTATGTATTTATTAAATCAAACATTATTAAAAGAAATAATAATATAACCTAGAGGCAGACACCGACTAGTATTCACCTTTTATTATCTCAATTATTTACTTATCAAACTAATTTGTCTTAACTCCTACACGTCTAATTTAAAAAAAATGAAAAAAATTAAGAAAAAAGTTAAGTTGACAAAATTACGTAATACATTAATCATAATAATGATTATCGTTTTACAATAAAAAAATGACCTTTGTACAAGCAATAAAAGTAGCGTGTCTAGTTATTTAATAGAAGCATTTTAGAACAAGGATATAATATTAAAAAATATGTAATTAATATTTTTTACGTTATAATTAATATAACATATTTCTTATTCTAATAAATTAATATATTTCTCAATTTATAATTCAAAACAAAAAAAAACAAAAAAAACGTGTGGCACTCGGAGACTGCCGCGGTAAAGCTATTGCATAGCATTTTTTATCAACTTATTATAATTATTTATTTATTTTATTAATGCAGTATTTTTTTCCTTTGTTTTTTTTTATATTAATTCAAGTTACACTTTGAGCGTGGTGACCGATAAAAAAACATTTTTTTTTCTTTTATTAAATAAATGAGATGTTAATATTGTTCAAAATATTTTTATTATCTTTCAATACATGTCGGTTCTTCAGGAATATTTATCATTGAAACTATAGGTTTATGGTAACTGAAATAAGAAACATAAGTTTGAGACTTGATATCTTCTAAATATCTGGAAAACACCGCGTCAATGGTGGTTCCATATTTTGTTGTGGATTCTTGTGGATCATTATTCATTTGCAAATTCAATATTTTCGAAAGCAAGCTGCATCGACTGCATCTTTGTTGCAAGAATTCAAAAGACTGTCTCTAAATAGTGTTCAGACGATAGCTCAAAGTGTATTAGATTTCATTAGTAATAGAAATGGCATTTCAATAATTACTTTCAACTGCCAAAGTCTAAATAGTCACAAATACGATTTACAAGATTCAGTTACGAGGCAAGCAAATGTGTTACTTCTTACCGAAACAGATGTCAAATGTGAGATCATCAGAAACGTCAGATGTCAGATGTCAAATCTGAGTGTGGGGTGTTAGGTTTTTTCGTTACGGAATTTCTGGATTCGGTCCCCACGCTCAAGGCCCGCGATAGAAGCTATGCAATAGCTTAAAAAGTATCTAGATTATAATTACAAAATAGTAGTAGGGGAGCCCAAGAGAGGATTTTTGGAGTTACTCAAGCGCGGCAGATTAACGTAAGGGGGCATACCTTGCACTCTGTTGAGTACTTCTACCATAATATAAGTCCTCTATATAAGGGCGCGCGTCTAGAGCAGCCGATAAAAATAATTAAAAAATATTTTAATTATGTAGAAATACTTGAAACCGTCAGATTATGGTATGGTGGCCTAATAACATCCTGAAAAGTGTGCAATTCAATAATCTGCCGATTTGCACAAGCCGAAGAGGCTAAAATCGTACATTAACTTCGTTTGACAGTCTTGGATGTCGACATCATCGGAGATTTTATTAGAATAAATATTCAGTAATAATTTGTTAAAAAATATGACAAATCACAAGACTTCCTGTTAGGTACTTTTCTCCACTAGTCTGAATCGATTTAGATTTTTGCACAGTTTCCATTCATCAGCTGTAACATTTTCAAGACACGAACTGCTAGAGGAGTCTAAAATCACCACTAAGTACGCTACTTATAACTGATAATACTTTCTTAGATTTACGCGAATGTTTGACATTATTAAATAAAACTATCTTTTCGGATTATTTCGCGGATTTATTTTGATTTTTGGTTCCCGACGTTTCGAATGCTTTACAGCATCCATGGTCACGGGAGAGACTGAGGTGTTAAAAAGGTGGAGTTCCACCTAGTTGAGACCTACCTCATTTAGTATATTTTTTTCGGTTGTTTGTACATTGTTTTTGATTTGATATTTCAATAGTTTTTCTACAGCTGTGTTGCTGCGTCTGAAGTGACTCACGATGGTCTTTAATATGGTAAAAAAAATTCAATATCCAGCAAATTTAACCTGTTTTTAGCTATTAGATTGATTGTACGCGCAAAGCATCCAAAGGTTTTCAGCTCGAGCTCTTTAATACAATTTTGTACGTTGGGAGCGTTATCAGACACAACTAGTCTTAGTTTTTTGGTCAGATTCCAATCATTTATGATCTCATTCAACTCTCTGCTCAAGTTAATAGCCGTATGTGGCCCAGTCAGTGTATGGCATTGTATGAGAGACGTTTCTAAATTAAAATCATCATTGATGTAATACGCGGTTACTGCTAGATAGCCCTCTTATGCCCGTGATGTTCAATAATCAATAAGGTAAGGCAAAGCGGATCGATATTTATGAGGCTTTCCTTCACTTGATTAGCGCAGCTGTGATTCTGCATCTAATAATGTTATGGATACGTGAAATGTACGAGTTTTCCTTTTTTCATGTTAGTCATTTTTCTTTGTGGGATTGATGGAAAGCATCTACAGTAGAGTGTAGAGATATAAGTCACTTTACGCCTATATTTAGGAAATGCCTACTAGGTGGCGCCAGTACCCTTATATTAAAAACTAGCGACTCACCCTCGCTTCGCTCGGGTTCGTCCCTAGCTTGCTTCCCGAAACAAACTTTCATCCCCATTTTCACCTCTTTAAGGAATAATTTCCGGAATAAAAAATGTCCTATATCCTTTCCAGGGTCTCAAAGTATCTTCTTACCAAATTTCATCTAAATCGGTTCAGTACATCCAGAGATTTAGATTATAAAAAATCCACAGATCTCGTGTCTGCCACGACTTTCGATACGTTGGCAAACGTGATTTAATTTTTCCAGATTAAAAAAAATAGTCTTCCACAACAATAGAAAAGGAAAAAACTTTTAGAAAATAGCAGCATTAATAGTGCGTCGTCATTTTCTTTTCTTTGACTGACTATACTGGATTAGGTGAACGAGGATTTGGCAATGTTTGTGAGTGCGGCACATCAACAGATTCAGCAGCAGCAGCAGTGTGTAGATTCAGAATCTGGCCTAACATTATTTGTCGCACACGTAAAAGTAATAAATGTTTGTTTAAGTTAGATACTGTAACCTTAAAACTAATTTTCGATTAGCAAATACATTTTGCAGTCTCCTTTTCTTCTACGAAGTAATGCCACACTCCATTTATCTGAGCGCGCTTCATATTTGTACACCAAATATATATTTACACTTACACTTGTACGTAATCACTTTTATTTTACTATTAAGTATACTAATATTTGCTTAGTATCACAAAGAGCTTTCTTTTTCTTTCTGGACCAGTTGCACTGGGCGCTGCATTTATAAAATCAGAATAGAACTAAGAAAATTTAAGAAAATCTAGAGAAAATTTAAAAATTTCGTAACTCAAGAGTAGGAATAAACGGTGTAGGTATACCTAAACAATAAAGTTAACATATATACAGTTCGAAAAACAGAGTCAAGTAATTGTTTATAATTTAAAATAAGACTATAATTAACCATTTTAAATAAAACATTTGTTAATTTAATTTCTTATTAAAAGTATTATAAATCGGATGCGTAACCAATTGATTGAAACCCGCCGCATATTATAAGATTTTTACTGTCAGAAAATTTTCGATATCCTCCGGTACCACCCCGTACACTCATTAGAAATAGAAACATCTCTTCAGCGAATCTGACCATGACTGAGTTTAGTTTGCGGCGTCCGTTCGACAAATAATGCGAATAGCTAATTACTGGCAAGTGTGCGGGGTCTAGATCTAGTACAAAATGTAGGTATAGAGAGCGCGGCTTCCGACTGTTATAATATTATGATCAGAAAAAATTCTGACGTCCGATCGATTGCATCCGTGATTCATCAGAAGCTTACGCCAGGGACGTCACAATTCTAATAGTATGCGGGTTCTAGACCAAAACATACGAGTAGAGTATCTTCGGGCGGACATCAGAAATTTTCTGACAGAAAAAATCTTGTATGCGGGCGTCTTATCTGACAATGAATCCGAACAATATTATCAGACTTATTTTGAACGGTCAAACTCAATACAGAGATTATGTGAAATATGAAATGATAGCTTATCATAGTTTAACAGTTAATCTGTTAAACTATGATAAGCTATTATTATTCAAAGATTCTTTAATATTACTAATCTGAAATCTCTTAGCGTATAATAACCTTTATTGGTCATCCATGATAATAACATATAATTATATTATCAGTCATGCACCACTACTCACTAGTTGACGTAGTTGTGTTTCATCTTTGATATCATGTGGTAGTCATTTTATTTTCTAAATATTGACAAAAAACATTAATTTGTATACTTTTTAAAATAGAACGTATATAAATAAGTATAAATAATGGAAAGTTATGAATTTTATGTTGAAGCTCCATGGGGTAAAATTGCTTGTGAGTTATTCAAGTTCATTTTTAATCTATATTGAAATAAGTGAAATTAAAAAATTCTAAATGACAAATGTGACAATTTCAAATTATGACTTTTATTATCAAATATTTCTATTATTAAAGTTAGTTTTTTTACAAAAAACCTACTTTATAATATTAGTTACTTACTTCAATGATTTCTATACAAAATCATATACTCTTTTTTATATACCAACTAGCGACTCATCCTCGCTTTGCTCGGGCTCGTCCATAACTACGTTTTAACGGTTAGAATGGATATCCTGCGGGAACTGTACATATTTCCGGGATAAAAAGGGGTTACTTTTTATGATGTGTATGTGCTATTTCAGATTAAACTTATCTCTGTGCCAAATTTCATCCAGATCTGTTCAGCCATTCTGGCGTGATTGATTAACAAATATCCATCCATCCAAACTTTCGCATTATTATTATTTTATATCAAAGAATAAATCACTACTTTAAAAATAAGAGGTAATTTAATTATATGTCTCATATTAGACTAAAGACTAATATTATTCTAAAGTCAGAGTATTAGACATGGTTGGGTAATTTGCACATAGATTTTTATTAAAAACTAAAACTTAATCTAACATTAAGTAAAACCTTTTTTAGCACTCATAAAATAAATGAATAATAAGTACCTAATTTATTAATTCAAAAATTTTGTTGAAACAACATAAAAGATAAAAAACATTTTCTTATAGGTATATCATGGGGTCATTGTGTAAATTCACCAGTGTTGATGGTCCATGGTTACATGGACAGTGCGGCAACCTTTATTCCAATTATGAAGCATTTACCTAACACATATTACTATGTAGCTATAGATTTCCCCGGTAAGTTCTTAGGTTGCTAAATATAATAAATATAAATATGTTGGGACATTAACACAAAGCACCATCTAGTTCCATGGTAAGCTACAAGGCCTGTGTTATGGATACAAGATAGTTGATACACTACACATATATAACTTTAAATACATACATATTATAAATAAAAACACCCATCACCATGACTGAGTACAAACAATCATGTTTATCACACATATGAATGTACCCCAGCGGGACTCAAAGCTGTGACCAATTGCATAGTATTTTTTTTATTTATATTATCCCCTATAATTTCAGGTCAAGGCAAATCTGATGCATTCCCTCTTGGTCCACTTGTAAACCATGCCTGCTTAGTAGAAGCAATGAGAAGAGTTATTGAACACTTGAAGTGGCCAACATTTGTATTAATGGCACATTCTGTTGGGTTTGTTATTGGTATGACATCATATTATTTTCTATTTATACTTTATTATTTTAGCTTTTTTTCATGAAACTAGCAACTCACCTTAGCTTCACTCGGGTTCATCCGTAGGTTGCTTCCCCATACCAAGTTTCATCCCCATTTTCACCCCCTTAATGGATGTTTTCTGAGATAAAAACTACCCTATGTGCTCCCAGGGTCACAAACTATTATCGGAACAAATTTCATCTAAATAAACTTAAAAACAATTGTTACTTTTTAAGTTTTTAACTGTTGTCTACAGTGAATGCTATGTACACTTGTAATAGATATACATATTATGAGATACTTTATATCTATACTAATATTATAAAGAGGTAAAGTTTGTGATCTTGTGAGTTTGTGAGTTTGTGACGTTGTAGGGGGTAATATTTGGATCTACTGAACCGATTTTCAAAATTCTTTTACCAATAGAAAGCCACGTTCTTTCTGAGTGTCATAGGCTATATATTAACCCGAAAAATGAAAAGGCTTTTTCGTGGTAACCGGATTTGCAAAGTAAGTCGGAGAAAAAACGGTCGAACGAAAACGTTTCTTACGAACGCTGCCTTAACGATGAGAGATATATGATTATGTTCTAGAGAAAAGTTGTAGAGCTTAATAATGCCTACAAAAAAGTCAGCGACAGCATATGTCTAACTTTTATATTTAAGCCACAAAAAGTAGTTTTTTATATTAAAAAAGTAATTTAAATCGGTAGGTCATGTTTATTGGTCATATTATCAACAATTATGAATTCTTATCAAAATAAGTAAATTTATCGTCTAAAATGCTTAAAATAAAAGACTTTTCCCTTTTACTGCATATAATTTGGACAAATGGTTAAAGAGATAATACAACATATTCGTATGTATGGACGAACCCGAGCGAGCTGTTTATCTGTTTTTCTCTTTGTACGGGCTAATCTCCGGATCTATTGAACTTATTTAAATGAAATTTTGCACGGTGGTACCTTATATCCCCGGGCAACATCTTAGATACTTTTCATCCTGGAAAATTAAAGGGTTCCCGTGGGATAGTTAAAAAACTATAACAACTTATACATCTTAGTACACAAAAACTACTGATTGGATTTTAATGAAACTTTACAATAATATAGTTCATACATAACAAAAACAAATAAGCTACTTTTCATCCCGGAAAATTAAAGAGTTTCCGTGGGATAGTCAAAAAACTATAGTAACTTATACAGCTTAGTACACAAAAACCACTGATTGGGTTTTGATGAAACTTTATAATAATATAGTTCATACATCAGAATAACAAATAGGTAACTGTTTATCCCGGAAAAACGTACTTTTTCCGTGGGATAGATGTTTTTGTTTATTTGTAACGTATTTTGTACACAACATAGACCCCAAAACAATAGTTATTAAAAAAATTGTCTGTTTGTCTATTTGCCTGTATGTCTGTTTGTCTGTTTTTGTGTGCGCGTTTCATGCGAAAAGTAATGTACCAATTTCAACGACATTTGGTAAAGTGATAACTTATTACTCGAGTCAACATTTAGGATACCTTTTGTATGTATGTATGTATGTATGTTGTATTCAGCCCATTTTAACACACGCACGGGCCTCCCTTCAGTACGAGGTGAATCAGGCCATAGTCCACCACGCTGGCCAATATCAGAGGTGCTAGACCCGGGATTTGAACTTGCTTCACTCGGTTTCCCAAGCGAGCGCGTTACCACTGAGATACCACTGCCTAGATACCTTTTACTTAAAGAAAATCTTTCTTTCCCACGGGAAAATGTAATAACTGGTTTTATCGAGTCCTCCCTAGAAACCTTCCTCTGGCTAAGCCTTAAGACATACATCAAAACAATATACTAAAAAATTGTAGGTCTTGAAAAGTCCTACAGAAAAGTTCTGAATAGTATATGTCTATCTCCTAAGTTAGACTCGCAATATTTATTCTTATCTATACCTATAATAAAACTTAGTCAAATCGATGTGCGCGTTTCACGCAAAAAGTACTCAACCGATTTTAACTTCATTTTGTATAGTAAAAACTTAGTGCTCGGGTCAACATTTAGAATACTTTTTACGACAGGCAAATTATTCATTCCCACGGGAAAATACAATAACTGGTTCTATCGAATTGTCCTTAGAAATTTATATGGCTAACGTTGGCTCAACCTTAAGAGATAGATCAAAACATTGTACAAGAAAATTGTAAGTCTTAAAAATGTCTATAGAAAAGTTCTACATACGATATTATATGTCTATCTCCTAAGGTACACTCGCTATAACTATTTTCATTATTATATATTTCTGTTTTATTATACGTTATTTATTCTATCTGAATATAGGTACATATATGAATAATAAAACTGTAGAGGTCGAATGTCTGTACATAGATGGTAGAAAAATTGCTAAAAAACGAGTCAGTTCTCTTCTTACGGGATGTAAGAAGGCAGTTCTCTTCTTACATCCCGTAAGAAGAGAAATAGAACAAATCCAGATTTTTTTCAATTTTTTTGTTTCTCTGTCTGTTTGTCTGTTCGTACGGGCTAATCTCCGATACTATTGAACCTATTTAAATGAAATTTGATACTTTTCATTCCGGAAAATTAAAGAGTTCCCGTGGGATAGTTAAAAAATTATAGTAACTTATACAGCTCAGTACACAACAACTTATGCACCTAATTTAGTAAAATTTGGCATGCTGATACCTTATATTGCAGGTCAAACAACAGGTTACTTATTTTTATCCCGGAAAAATGAACGGTTCCCGTGGGATAGATCTGTTTGTGCTTTTCTAGAGGTGAACCCGAGCGAAGCGAGGGTGAGCCGCTAGTTACTAATAAGATTATCAGAAATGTTTTATATGTATATTGTTAGTATGCATTTTTAGAAATAAATAAATAAATTGGTACAGTAGTTTCGGAGCTTTATCGTTACAAACAAACAAACAAAAAATCTTTCCTCTTTATAATATCAGTATAGATTATGTTATAAAGCAGTGGTAGCTCTGTAATAACACGCTCGCTTGGAAAACCGAGTGAAGCGGGTTCAATCTGGATCTCACACCTCTGATATTTTCATACTGCAAATCATTTCCAACGTGATTATCACTTGCTTTACGGTGAAGAAAAACATCATGAGGAAACCTGCATGACTGAGAGAACCTAGCAAGTTTTCAAAAGGCATGTGAAGTCCGCCAACCCGCACTCGGCCAGCGTGGTGGACTATGGCCTGATCCCCCTTGTAATGAATTATAGATTTGGATCCTAATAGCCATATTATTAGGATACCCTTTAAATTTTCAAGTATAGAATGCTAAAACTAATATTTCTAACTTCCAGGAGCTTTCTACAACAGCATACATCCATATAGAATATCTAAGATGATTAATTTAGACCCTCTGCTACCACTCTCTACATACACATTCCATGAGACAAACCCTGCTTTGTGGTACCAATATATGTATGATCATTACTACGATAATTATTCAAGGTAATAATTTGCTTGCAAAACAAAAATGTAAGTTATCTATACAGATAAATAAAATTGTAGTGCCTGCAGTTTGTAATGTCAAAATAACAGCTTTTTACTAAATACATAAGAAATTATACACACTACTAGCAACTCGCCCTCGTTCCGCTCGGGTTCGTCCCTAGTTACGTTTTAACGTTTAGCTCTGAGATGAGATATTTCCTGCTGTATAAAGTATCCTATAATAATGTAAACAGCTACATATCATCAAAACTTGTCCAGTGGTTTTCTCGTGATGTGGTCACAGGCAGACAGACTGATGGACATATAGACGAACAGACAGACAGACAAAAAACTAAAACCTATAGTTTCGACCTCGGTATCGATAATAATGTCTAATTCAATAAGATTTTCCAATAAATATTTCAAATCAATCAAATCAAAATATTTTATTCAGCATTAAATTATTACAATTTTTTACTAAACTTCATTAGTCTACTACCAGTTTGGAAAGAAAAAGCCTCAGACCTGAGAAGAACTGGCGAAAGAAACTCAGCGGGACCAATATCTTTTCTTAAAGTATAATCTTTTAAAGTAAAATTATAATTTACAATATTTCTATCAAGTTGAAGTAGCCTGGAGGCGATTATTTCATGCCCAAGGTCATGCCATCTTCTATAAAATTATTTATTGTATAATAGCCTTTAGCACACAAACATTCTTTAACATTTTTTTTGAATTTGGTGATAAAAGCCTTTTGAACATTTTCTGGGATCTTGTTGTACAAGCGTATACATTGTCCATAAAAAGAATTACTGACTCTGTGTAGACGAGTCACAGGCATTACAAGTTTGTGTTTGCTCCTAGTATTAATGTTATGCATGTCACACTTCTTGGGAAATTCGAGTATATTTTTACGGACATACATAACATTTTCGTACACGTACTGAGAAGCAACAGTCAATATTTTTATTTCTTTAAACTTATCTCTTAATGACACTCTAGGACCTAGACTATAAATTGCACGAATAGCTCTTTTCTGCAGGACAAAAATCGTATTAATAGCAGCTGCATTTCCCTATAGTAAGATACCATAGGACATAATACTATGAAAATAACTAAAATTTAATGTACATACACGACACATACACAATTTTTCAAAATTTTGGCTGTCTGTCGGTTTGTTTTGGCTAATCTCCGAAACGACTGGACTGATTTTGACGGGCTATTATAGTTTGAGGGTAAGTCATTAGTTTTAAAACAAATTAACGATAACTATATAATACATTCATCTCGTCAAGGTGATATGTTTACTGATACTTTTATGAAATATTGTTATATATTGTTAAGTTCTTTTTTTTATAAAAACTTTTTAAAAGTCGTTTTGTTTTTTTTTAAATTTCAGATGGAGTTTGGAACGCAATAAAAAGTATACGTATGATCAAGCGATCAATCTCTTAGTGAGAAGCAGAAAGCTTACTAAAGACCAGTCAGCAGTGGTTCTCTCAAGGTCTTTAGTGCCTTTAGATGATGGCATGTATAAGTATGTATTCAGCCCTTTTTAGCGTCCCACTGCTGGGTGTGGGCCTCCCTTCAATACGAGGATGATCTGGCTATTGTCCACCACGCTGGCCAAGGATGCAAAACATCAGTTTTACAATAATGTGTGGAAGTCTGTCCGATTTGTTGACATTTATGTTTACTGCTCCGCTCCTTTGGGTAGTAGCATGATGATATATAGCCTATAGCTTTCCCAATAAACGGGCAAAAATAATTTTTCAAATCATATTATAGTTCTTGAGATTGAGATGCGCTTAAACAAACAAACATACAAACAAATAAACTCTACCTCTTTATACCATATACCATAGAGTAGAGAATGACTGAGCAATACTTTCATGAAATTGACCATCATTGTGGTACAACCATTCGCGCTCATCACACAAATGAACGCCCCCAGTGGTACTCGAACCCTACTCGCTGACACAGCAAGTAGGGTCACTACAACACAAACAATACAAACTGAGTCAAACATGTCGTCAAATATTTTGTTAAGGAAAAAAAATATGTTGAGGAAATTAAGTAATAAATAATTTGTTTTTCAGATTATCCTGGGAGCCGTGTATGAAACAGCTTGTAGTGTTACCAGTTACCAAAGAAATGCTTATTTCTTTAGTTACTACCAATCCTCCTCCAATGCTAAATATAGTCGCCTTCGAAGTTGAAATATTGCCATATTTCAAGAAAAATGGCATTCGATTAATGGAAGTATTTAAAAAATCGATACCAAATTTCATAGTTCACAATGTGGCGGGACCCCATGATGTGCACATCACTAATCCTGAGTCGTTTGTTGACAAAATAATCGATTTTTTGGACATGGATTTTAAGGTGCAAGCGAAACTGTGATATTAAAATATTGCTTTTGTTTTTTTTGTTTTATTTATCCTGCGTACATACACGTACATAGCGCCTATCGCATCGCGTCTTAAAAATGTTTAAATACACAACTGACAATGGAGCCGGTATATAGCGCTGCTATGGAAACCTAGATTTTTTTAATTTTTCGACCAATCAAGGTTGTGACAGAACAGGAACTTGCTGAGCTTGCTAGTTTTAATAAAAAAATGTTTCATATCATAATAATTTATACATTTAAATTTAATAAATAACCACAAAAAATTTAATGATTAATAATGATTATTATATATTTAGGGCCTCGTTTTTTTATGTTGCAACATGCATTTAAGTATACCACCTGTATACAGACAGATGGTTATGTGGGATTTACCAGCTAGAAATGCCAGTACTACTCCGCGCCCGGCTGGGTTGCTGTAGCCTGTACGCTAATGAAACCCCCCTCTCCCCTCCACACGATAAGGTGAACACGGGGAGCAATACCTGTCAACTTATACCGCAGGCCGGTCCTTCGTTCCAAAAAGCTGTCTACTGTAAAGTACCACAAGTATTGGTAGTTTGAACAAATAAGCATTAAAGCTACGATATGCTGTATGTTTGGCAATTATTATCTTTCATATACATGTAACACAGACAAAGTAGGTCACAAAAGTGAGCATTTAGTCACTAATACTCATGATGATCGTATCACATATATATCGAACTTTTAAACATCGATATTCTATTCGATTATTTTGTTGAGTGGCTCATATGAGTGAACAACGATTTAAGAAAAATAAAAAACATTTCATTCTGACATTGACAACTGACAGTGACAAGTGTATGTTTGCGAAATTTCAAATTATTTTGGAGTTTGAACATTAAACTTTTATTACCATATTTGGGAACGTTCACTCAGATTAAAATATTTGGTCATTTGGAATTCCAAACAAAACGTAAAAGAATTGAATTTATAAAAATTCTGTGGAATTATACATTATATTTAGCAAAAATATTCGCTTTCCTTTGGAGTTTAATTTTAGTTCAATTTTAGGTTTATAAGTGTACATAATAATATAAATGAAAGTACTAAAAGAATGGTTTGTGCAAGCCCCATGGGGTAAAATAGCATGTAAGTCTCTAAAACATATTATGTATTTTAAAACCTAAGAATTAATTCATATGTACATTTTTGGAAAATCAAATAATACTTTAAATAGATATTCATATTATTTACATCTTACTTCCTATTTAATTAAATACATAAACTACAGTTTTTTTAACTTAAAAGTGTTAATATTTTGCAATTGTATTTAAATGATCCATAAGTAATTATTGTAATGTAACGTTATATATTGACCTACAACAAAATTATTATGCAATTTAATTTTATATTCTTTTATTGAACAAATGGAAAAATTTAATATAAATATATTATTTTGCATTAACATATTACATACTTATATAAATAAAGAAGTCCAAGGAAGGTTCTTTATAAAGAGAAAAATTGAAAAAGTTGTCCAGAATAACTATGAATAACTATTATATAAGAATAGTTATTTATATAAATTAATATTACATGAATTTATGTAAAGGTTTTTATTTCAATAAATTTATGCATAAAAGATAATTTTATTAACAAAAACATTATTGTTATTTAAACTCTTAATATTCCAGTAATTTCTTGGGGCAATCCTGAAGGGAAACCAATATTACTTGTGCATGGTCGGCGAGACAGTGCAGCCACATTTATACCACTATTGGAGTTGTTACCAAAGCATTTTTATTATGTTGGTATTGATTTGCCGGGACATGGAAAGTCTGATCCTTTACCAATAGGTGAGAGTTACAGAATTTTTCAAAAAAATGTATATTGCAATATATCAGTGAATTGATTAGCTTCCAACCAATTACAATTTTTTTTGCCAATTATGTCACTGTTTAGTCTAATTATAAAATTTGAAATAAAACGATTTTTGCATGTGTTTATATGTTAAATTTTAGTTTTTGAAAGTGTAGTTTTAGACTTCATAAAAGTTATAGCTATTTTAAATGGGATCTATCTATGAAATAATGAATGTTTGTTACACCACTAACCAATTGGTTGGACGGATTTCGATGAAATCTAGTACACAAATAGGCTATAAACTTGAGTAACACATAGGCTACTTTTGACTGTATCTATGTATAGAATTATAAATACAAAGTTCTCAGTACTTTGATGATCTTGTATAAAGCAAATATTTTTTTTAATAATTTCTAAAATAAAATTTGTTTTTCAAAAATTTACGTACATTAAACAAAAAAAATAATATATTTTTTTTTTATAATTTGTTCATAGCAGTATTAAAATGTTTCACTGTTTTTTAGGTATTGCAATTACAAGATTCATATTGATAATAGCAATTGATATGGTTGTCAAGGATTTGGGATGGAATAAGTTTTATTATATAGGACACTCGATGGGTTCAGAATTAGGTATGTTTAGTTACCATTTAATAAAAAAGTATATAAACTACAAAATTACTTAAAAAAAATCACCATGATGGTGTTTTTTTTTCAATCTGTTTAAATATTATAAATGTGAAAGTTTGTGAGCATGTATGGATGTTTGTTACTCTTTCATGCTAGAACGGCTGAACAGATCTGGATGAAATTTGGCACAGAGATAGATTATAGTCTAGAATAACACATAGGCTACTTTTTATCCTGCAAAAAAATATGGTTCCCGAGGGATAGCTTTGTTTTTGTTTTGGGCTAGTATATAATAATGACTGGCTTCGACCACGGCGGCCACTCCCATTGACACTAGGGACCGAGACTATATGTCGTCCCACCGGAGTATGAGAGTGACAGGAATAGAGAGTGCACGTTGTGTCTGCGCGTACACTTGAGCACTATAATATCTCCTGCGCAGATTGCTAGTTTCAGTGAGATTACTAGAATCCAAAATCCAGTCAAGTCTGAATTGTATACAGCCCTTTTTAACGTCCCACTACTGGGGGTGGGTCTCCCTATAATACGAGGGGGATCAGGCCATAGTCCACCACGCTGGCCAAGTGCAGGTTGGCTTCACGTTTCATTCAAGTGTGAATATTCCTACAGTAATCTTTATTTTCAGGATTGTTCTACAACGCTATACACCCAAAGCAAATAACTAAACATGTCCTCTTAGACCCTACGCCAGCTCTTCGAAGGATAGTCATGCTAAATTTTGAACAGTTTTATTGGTACTATGACAATTATTATAGTAATTATAATAAATTAAATATAGATGATAGGGTATACAGTAAAAATAGAGCCATTCAAGCAGTCATGAGAGCACGAGGCATGACTGAAAAGCACGCCGAAGTGATACTGTCTAGGAATTTGAAAAAAATTGGTGAAGATTCATACAAGTGAGTATATGATTGTTATTTATAAGTTTTGTTTGACTTTTTACTCTTTTCGGGTTCGGTAGTTTTAAAGGAAAAAAGATACTCTTATAGGACCACTTCGTTGTTCGTCTGTCTGTATATCAAGAACGTTTTTCTCAGGAACTCGTGGAAGTATCAAGTTGATATTAAAATCAAATACTTAGATCTGCAATCCCTTGGAGCTGTGGAAAAACAACGCAATCGAAAGATGCATGCCGTTTATGCCGCATATTTTGACACTAGCAAGGAAATCAAAATCTGTAGGGTACTTCAAGTTGACCTAGAATCTTGAAATATCAAGATTCTCGGAACCCTCGGTGGGCGATTCAAACTCGCACTTGTTCATTTTTTTTCTTTTAGCGAGAGCTTTTTTAGGATTATTTATTTGTCTGTAGAACTTATGTTTTCTGAAATTTACTGTGCGGTATAAAAACGATATTTAGTTCTCTTTTTACTGAGATATAGAGATAAATCACTCTGTACATATTTATAATATAATTCTGACCTTTTAATATCCCATATTTATATGAAAATATAATAAATCTGGGAGTTAGAGTATAAGTACATAAGTACTTTTTTTTATATTATTTTTTTCTACATTTTTAGACTTTCATGGGACAAACGGACAAAAAATTTAGTTCCAACGAATTTACCTCCAGAGTATTATTTTGAATTGTTTTCGACGAATTCACCACCGACCTTGTATATTCATGCAAATCAAAGCCCTAATACGAAAACTAAAGATATTATCGATAAAATGATAGAAAAATTCGAAAACGAAGTACCCAATTTTAAAGTTTTGAAGGTCGATGGAACACATGATGTGCATTTTATAAATCCTAAGGCGTTTAGTGATGTGCTGTGTGCGTTTTTAAATAATAGTGATGTTATATCGAAATTGTGATCTGTTTTTTTTTTTCAAATTATACGGCTTAGTGTTTATAGATGTTTTAACCGATTTCAACCAACTTCTTCAAACTAGAGGAGGTTCTCAATTCGGCTGAATGTTTTTAAATTTTTGTTACTAAATTATAGTAATGCAATAAAAAATATGTTACATAATGATTTTGTTAATTAACTGAATTGATTTGAATAACTAATAAAATTTTATAAATTTTCAACTCTTTTTAAAATTCCACCCTTCGGGTGGAATATATTTTCTTTTCTTTATTTAAAAGAAAATATGTTACAAAGTATATTATCTATTTTATTCATTTATTGATTAGACGACACGTTTGGCTCAGTTTGTAGTGACCCTGCTTGCTGTGCCATTCATTTGTTTGATGAGCACGAATGTTTGTACTACAGTTATGGCTGTTTATATTTATAATATGTATGTATGTGTAGTGTATCAACTATCCGGTATCCATAACACAAGCCTCGTAGCTTACTACAGAACTAATTGGTGTTGTGTGTTAATTTCAAAGAATATAATACAAAAATCGAAAGTTCTAATTGTCTAAACACAAAAACAACGTGAGTTTTCTTTTTGTCATCCGAAAAGCAATGAACAAAAGTAATTTGAAAAAAGCGCAATTCAATTTCGAATTGTGCACTTCTTTTTGAGGACACTTTTGAAACACTGATTGTTTATCCTGAGTTTTTGTATATCAATGGTGGCTTTGCTGTTTATGCTACTATCCTCGATTTTACCATTCAGATCCTTTACTTTAAAGAATAAGGGAAATTTTATATATGTATTAGTTAAAATAATATACAATTTTAATAAAATACGAGTAATAAAAATAATACTAGGTATGTTCTTTTGTATCTTTTAAATATTATTTTTCTGTTCTCTTTCCCTTGAGCAAGAGAAATATAGTAGAATAATAGTAACTGAATTTGTTTCTTTATTATAATAAAATCAGTTAGCTATATTTATTTATAATAATTTATTTACTTATCACCATCGATCAAAAAAATACTAGATACACAACCAACGACAAGAAAATGTCCCCACCGAATGAGCGCTCATTTGAACATTTGAGCGCGCTTTTAATTATTTTTTTAGTGAAAACAATTTGAAGCAGTGTTTAAGGTACAATTACATTTTTGTATTATATATATGTAGGGTTAAGCAATTTATAATGTAAGCATAATATGCATATTTCATTTTACGGCTAGTATACAGGGTCATTTTTAATTTACTGCAAACCTTTTGGGAATACACTATTTACAACATAACAACAACATCTGTAAGAAAATAAATATATCTTAAATTTAACAAAAATAAAAATATTTTTATTGCACCTTCTAAATGGTAATAGTCCAGCATTAGCAAAAGAAAGTGCGTGTCCGATGGAGGGGAGGGATAGAGGGGTGTAGGAAGCCGCGGTTACTCATTTAAACTTGGCCAGATGCTAGAACTTTAAAGTTTGAAAGATGCAAAAAAATATTTTTATTTTTGTATGAAAATAAAAATTTAAGAAATATTATTTTTACTTGTTACAGATGTTGTTGTTATGATGTAAATAGTATATTCCCGAAAGGTTTTCAGTAAATTAAAAATGACCCTGTATATTGTGTGGTGTTTGTATTATTTCATCTAGAACAATTATCTAGACACAATTGGTTTTAAGAGAACTTTTGCGTGGGATTGTGTATCTAGTACTTTTTTGATCGATACTTATCACTCAGTTTATTAATTGCTATTTGTATGTGTACTATTTTAAATCGTCAATATACTCTTATTCTTTCTATATTATTACCTCAGACCAAAAACAGGAATTAAAAAAAACTTGATGTGTATTATATCATTTATTTTTATCTATAAATATTATGTTGTATACAGAGAGGGTAGAGGTAAGGAGAACTATCTCTGTGATGAGAAAGTGTCCGTCAAAATGCGTTAAATTAGGGTGGCGCCGCGGTAGCAAGTGGGTACATTTTGAAAAAAAAAACGCCAAAAGTATTATAAAAAGGTAACAAAAAATATATCACTATAATACGTTTATATCATCACAGTTTAAGTTTGTTTATAATATCGATTACCGTTTACAACTTCTAAATGCTCTTGCTACGTCAGCACCGTTCTGGTGGGATTTTGAATTGTTATTTACCGCTTACAGGTGGACACTTTTTCAGCTTGTCTCTTATATAAGATAGATTTCCTTACCTCTACACTTCACAATTGCCTTTAAATGTTTTTTGACATTTGAAACGAAGTTTGCAATATAAAATGTACTAATTAAACATACGACCTTTAACTAATAATATTACAGTTTTGCTTTAAATTCTTCCAGTAAAAATTTCGATATGTCTTCAGCCATGCAGTCTGGATCGTCGAGATGTACGTTATGGTCACCTTCCACTATTTTATATTTATAATTGCCATTGACCCACGCTTTTTCATCTAAGGCGAAGGGGGTTTCACTAAAAGCCCCTATTTCAATCGTGCGGGTAGCGAATATTGCTAAAGTAGGTGTTTTACTTCGAGTATAAAGCTGTTTTAGGTTGTCAGGTGTAAATGGCAATTTGAATGAGCTTTTCATCCTTTGGTCGTAGGTAAACCTGAAAAAAAAATATATTACTAGCGACTCAGCCTCGCTACGCTCGGGTTCATTCCTACCTTGCTTCCCCATCAAAACTTTCATCCCCATTCTCACCCCCTTAAGGAATGATTTCCGGCATAAAAACTATTTTCACTCACTCACTTTTCATATCGTGAGATTTAAATAAATCTTGACCCGGATAACCAGCTATAACCATAACAAATTTCATCATCAATCCCTCCAGTGGTTTTTCTGTGATGCGGTAACAGACAGACAGACAAAAATTCTAAAAACTATAGATTCGGCCTCTGTATCGATAATAATGCTTATTCCAATAAGATTTTCCAAAAAATATTTAATGTACAAATGCGGCTTAGTTACAATTTTATTATATGTATAGATAATCTTTATTGCTTTTGAATTAAGTCTATATCAATATTTTTAATTTTTGATTAAGAAAATAATTATTAAAAAGTACAAATATAGGTGGGATATTCAAAGTAGTTGAAAAGCACGCCATTGGTCAGGCCGAATGTGACGTCAGAGTATTATCATAACAGAGCGATTAGCGATTTTGTCGCTACAAATTGAGTCGTCATTTTCTGTGTATATCATACTGTGACGTCACAGTGTTTTTTGTTGCTGAACATTTTGCCCATATTTCCATCCGTGCATAGCCACTAGACAAACGAGGCAGTATAATAAAAACAAAGCCATTGAATAGTGATAACTCTAACTCCATCGATAAATTGGTCGCTTGGACATATGAGCACTAGGAGACGATATCTATACTTAATATTATAAATGTGAAAGTGTGTTTGTTTATTTGTATATCCGTCTTTCACGTCTAAACAGATTGATGAATTAGCGTGATTTTTTGTGTGGAAATAGTTGGAGGGCTGGAGAGTGATATAGGCTCCTTTTTAGCGCGGGTTGTAACCCAAAAAATTATTTATGATCAGAATTACTTGAAACTTGATATTAATGCTCTTCAATACAATTAAATAAATACGTGTTTTAGCATATTTCGAAATTCATCCCATAAGGGGGTAAAATAGGGGATGAGTTTTAGCGCGAGCAAAGCCGCGGGTTCTGTTAGCATGTATATATGTAATACTAAATTACCGATACAATCCTTCTCCTGCTGGTTCTATGTTCCTGTTGATGATATGGTTTGCGGCTTCTTCACGCACGACCTGAACAGCAATTATCATTTCTTTTACCTATAACAATATTATAATAAGTTTTAATCACTTTTTTAATGCGTAATCATGTTTACTAGTATTCAGTGATTGAAATTTGACCATAACCATTATAAAAATGCTAAAAACCGAGTCGGGAGGATGTAAGAAGAGAAATAGAACAAATCCAGATTTTTTTCAATTTGTTTGTTTCTCTGTCTGTTTGTCTGTTTTTACGGGCTAATCTTCGACACTGTAAGACCGATTAAAATGAAATTTTGCATGGTGGTACCTTATATCCCCGGTCAACATCTTAGATACTTTTCATCCCGGAAAATTAAAGAGTTCCCGTGGGATAGTTAATAAACTATAGTAACTTATACAGCTTAATACATAAAAACTACTGATTGGATTTTAATGAAACTTTACAATAATATAGTTCATACATCAGAATAACTAATAGGCTACTTTGTGTAAATTTGTTTTTGTTTGTCTAGAGGCGAACCGCTAGTATATATATATATATATATATATATATATATATATATATATATATATATATATATATATATATATATATATATAAAAACGTGTCCACATTTTTATTGATAGCATTAAAGCTTGTCAGTTAATACGAATCGAAAAAAAAGGTAATCGGTTGACAGAGGAGAAAAAGTTCCTGAACGGTTTTGTCTTTGCCTATTTATATATAGATGTAATTGATACTATAACGCCAAATAGCCTATAGCTTTACTCAGTAAGTTTGGTCTATTTTTCAATCCAGACTGGTGCTCAATTAGAGTCAGAAATTAGAGCAAGCACAACAAATAAAATCTCACTGACACCGGTTTTTCTTTTATCAAGATAAATACGTAAGCCTTTCGTTGGACCAAATTCTTTGCATTTGAAATTCTAGCTCCAGTATTAATCAAATAAGCTTTTTTTGTCGAGATGCATCTTATCTCGAGAGAACCTTATATTTTAAAGCAAAAGTACTTTTCACCCCTAGCTGCTAGCGAAAGTCCCAATAAAATTGGTTCGTACAAACAAACAGACAAACAATTTCATATCACCCTACCTACTATAATAAATTTGTAGATGTGTGTTTGTTACTCCTTTACGAAACAGGTCGACGGAAGAACAGTCTGGATATAATTGACACACAGGCTTCTGTTAGTAATAAAATTTGGCAAAAGATGGCCCTATATAATGTTAAAAATACAAATTAA